ACGAACATAACCTAAGAATAAATAACAACTTAAATAACGTTACTACCTCAATTTTTTAAAATTAAGTAAATATAATGATAACAAATTAAATTTGAATATAATTTTGACAGCATAATATAATTAACATATCAACTAACAAATAAACAGAATCAATTCGTGTGTAAGAAAGGATAAACACATACATCAGTCGAAAAAAGATAGTGCATATAGCGAAAAGAACACAATAATAAAACGTTGAATATTTGTCAAGGACAGAAAAGAAATATTATCAGGAGGAACCCTTCAGAGTGTCAGAAAAAAAAATGATAAACAAACAAAATAAATTGATGTATTAAAGAGCAACAACAAAACCTCCAATATTATTAAAGAGCAATAAAAAAATATATTAGCATAAGGAACCCTTCATAGATCATGAGAAAAAACAGTAATAAATACAATATATATTTAACAATTAAAGAACAGATTTAAGAATGAACAAATACCGACCTTATTCAAAATTCAAAGAAGAACGATAGATGCAGCAGACACAGCACAACAACAAAAGCAAAAATATATTGCTTAAGAACAGTAAAACAGAAAATATGGCAAGATATGTATTATAACAGTAAAAGAAGAAAAACAGAGAGAATGCAGAGAAGTGTATGAATGAAAAGAAACGCAGTTTATACAAACAAAAAATTTATGGTGGTTATCCGAGAGCAGAACCAAGAAACAAAAATCAACCAAATTAATCATTAACTAACAACAGGCGCCATAGGGTGCCCTGGGGTCTCCAAGGGGTCTCCCGGGCGTGTCCCGAGAGTGTCCCGGGGGTCTCCTGGGGGTCTCCCAGGGGTGTCCTGGGGGTGCCCCAGGAGTGTCCCGGGGGTGCCACGGGAGTGTCCCGGGGGTGCCACGGGAGTGCCCCGGGGGTGTCTCAGGGCCGCCCCGAGGGTGCCCCCTGGGGTGACCCGGGGGTGCCCGGGGCCTCCAGGGGGGCGCCCCGGGTGTGCCCCATGGGGTGGCCCGGGGGTGTCCCAGGGGGTGCCCCAGTGGTGACCCTGGGGTGTCCCAGGCAGTGCCGTGGGAGTGCGCCAGGGGTGCCCCGGTTGTTCCCCGGGGGTGTCCCGAGGGTGCCCCGGTTGTGCCCTGGGGGTCTCCCTAGGGTGCCCCGGGGGTGTCCCGGGGCTGTCCCGGGGGTGTCTTGGGGCTGTCCCTGGGGTAACCCTAGCCTGCCCCAGTGGAGCCTCGGGCCTGCCCCGGTGGTGCCCCGGGTATGCCCCAGGGGTGCCCCGGGGGTCTCTCGGGGGTCTGCCGGGGGTCTTCTAGGGGTCTCTCAGGGGCCAACCTGGGGCCACCTCAGGTCTCCAGGGGGCCTCCCGGGGGTGCCTCGGGCGTGTCCCGGGGGTGTTGTATTGTAATAAACTAATATGCATTTAATTAATAATATTATTAAATTAGGTTATAATTTGCTCCAATTAAAAAAGCATTACTACTAATGAATATAAGTATCGATCTATTATAATAAAAACATAAGTTTTAACGTGTCATTAACAAGCAACTAACAGAAGGACTAACTTTTTAGTACCAAGGTAGGTTGGAATAAGCTTTTTTGGGACGCTTTAAAAGTTGGAATGAAAGTGGAATTAAATGTAAAATTTGGGGGCCATGTTTAAGATTAGAGCTAATTTCTTATACTACTGTTTTCTTACAAAAATTTAAATTTAATTCAAACTTTTTGTTTTGAACTCATGAACTTAACGGACATGTTAGAATTAGATTATCCCAGCTTTTAAAACACAACTGGTCGAATATATTTTTCCTCTTTGACCAAAAGATAGAAAATAAAATACTCTCACTCTCTCATGAACCAAACGGACATGTTAGAGTTAGATTATCCTAGCTTTTAAAACGCAACTGATGGAATATATTTTTCCTCTTTGACCAAAAGATAGAAAATAAAATACTCTCTCTCTCTCTCCTACTAATCACCCTTCTCGAAGCACAAATGGTGAATCTTCCAGGGAAAAAGAAAAAAGAAAACTACACGGTGAATCTTCCAGGGAAAAAAGAAAAAAGAAAACTACTAATCACCCTTCTCGAAGCACAAATGGTGAATCTTCCAGGGAAAAAGAAAAAAGAAAAATGGAGCATTATTAATGAATCCCATGCGGTTTGCAATGCGTTCCCCCCTCTATCTCTCTCTCCCTCCCTCCCTTCTCGAAGCACAAATGGTGAATCTCCCTCCCTCCCAACTACTCATCACCCTTCTCGAAGCACAAATGGTGAATCTTCCATGGAAAAAGAAAAAAGAAAAAAGAAAGAAAAATGGAGCATTATTGGTGAATCCCACACGGTTTGCAATGCGTTCCTCTTTCCAGTAAGTGGTCATTGGAAATTTGGGAGTTAAAAGTCTTTAAATCTTGTACTCATCAGTTTTTGTCACCAATATTCTGATTCAAAAAATTGAATCAACCCCATTTTTTCCTAATAAAACCAGGCAATTTCCTTGGGAGGAAATTGCATGACCGGTGACCCTCATTACTAGTGCTCCCAGCAGGCAAAAGAGTAAAAATAAAAGGAAAAAAAAAAAAAATCAATCTTGCAGGCAAATAAATTAAACACGGGTTATTATAGAAACAAACATGGACCGCAACAAGTCACGCCACAAGCTTCATCTTCTGCAGCTCTCAACCAGGAAAAAGAAAGTAAAGATTTTAAGACAAGAAAGGACATGTTACAATTCAACCCAACTTCTCAACGAATGTTTCGGTCAAGGTGTTTCCGCTGATGATTTTTGTTGTCCCAATAATCAGATCATATGCCATCCCTTCCTGCAAAACGCAAAATTCCCTTAAGCAGCTAGCTATATCTAGATTCGAGCGTAGAGAAAATTATAGTAATGAGTCGGTCAAGCAGTCCAAATCACTTGAAAAACGATGACCAGTTCCAATCGCTTAAATACCAAGTTTAAACAAAACCCCCAACCTACCATATACAATGGTTGCAACACAATATTATGATTCAGTAATTCCGTTTCACGTAAGCTCAACAAGCGAATAAGAAATAAGGTAAATTATTGGAGCAACAGAACAGTCGTGGCAGTTAGGATATTTCCTACGGTTGAGTCAAGGACTCAAGGCCATTGCGCTCGACTCAAAGATCATTTGAATATCTTGACTATGCTTAATGTTTCATCCATGCCTTTCATTGTTTGATTTAAGTTTTGACATGCAACTATGTTATGATGATCAATTTCTACAAGGGCTTTTAAGGTATTGATTATTTTCTAAGGCTACAACTCAAATAGGCAATCTGTTCTGGTTTTATGAACTGGTATGCAGCTTCTGAATTTCAAGTGAAAATAGAAATATACATATATTCAGTGCTGCTTGAACCAATGAAATTATCTTACCAGACGAGATATCATAAGTTTCACAATGATAATATTAATATACCTGAGCACTGAGAAACCGTAGAGCAGAAATCTCCGCGAATGTTACACCTCCAATGAACACTACAAGTACTAGGGAGCGCCTTCCGTCAGCCACCCTGCTATGTGTTAAGTGACAATAAATTGTGACCATATTATCGCAGTTAAAATCTAAGGAGAAACTAAAATATTGGTTGTAGTTAATTTCATTCAGACCACAGAATAAGACAAACAGAAATGTTTTGCAACCTTGATACAAAGTTCAGAACCGGCACAAGTTGCAAACTCCACTGCCTTTTTTTTTTCTTTTTCAATTGAAAGAAAAAGACTAGAAATAAATCTATGCTTGTTGAAGGTGAAGTTTGAAAATTAAAAAAAAAAAAAAAAAAAGCCATTCTGTTGTGTATCTCTCTGATTAATGCAACATGCAACATATATATATATATATATATATAGAACCCAACAAAAGAATGTCAAACATATGAAGAAAATAGAATAATTAAAAAATCATCATATAAAAGAGGATCAAACGAGGCATACTTGTCTCCACTGGCTGAAGAGCCGTATAGGTTGTCAAACGATGAAGTACTTGAAAATCTCCCCTGTGGAAATAGTAAGACCCATCATGATTAATTAGACATAGCAGAGTAAAGAAAAGATGAGAGTTATGGACTGCTTTAAAATAATTTACAAAGACACCAGTATGAATAAAACTTGGTAAAAATGAATATGTCAAAGCAATGAAACAAAAGACGCAACCAATAAAAAAAAAAAAATTTTGAAAGAAATGTACTCACTCTTTTTGTATCTGAATGAGGCCCAGGTAACAACTTCAGGATTTCTTCTATAGGACGCCTGAAGGGTTATTAAATAGAAGATTAAGTCATGTGCAAGATAAATTACAACAGTAGAATTTCAATTGAGATTTTATAACAAATTAGATAATACAAAACATGAATTTGAATAGAAATAACCACCAAGTAGCAACCTAAAGAATGATCCTCACCATCCAGATCGAACAGCATGCTGTACAAGCCGAATACTAAGAGGTGCGTACCCAGAAAAGACATAGGCAATATCATTGGGGCTGTCACATGCAAATTACTTAAATAAGTTAGTGAGCAAGACAGAAAGGCTAACACCAAAAGTATAACCAATTAAGATAAAAACGATACAAAATGAAATGAAACTAAAAGAAACTGAAAGAAAACCAGAAAACAAAAAAGCTAATAAAGCAAAACACATCAGCATCCTGTCACGTGAACTAAATTAGTTTCACTATAAGAAAAACTTCCTTTCAATCATAAAGAATAAAGAACAAAGGAAATGTGAGTCCAAATGATTGAACAATACATGGCTGTGTCAGTATCCTCAACCACAAGTTGCAGAGCACGTTTTACTGTCAACCAGTTGCTTTTTGTCTCCTGAAAGGTTCATACAATTAAAATCCAGTCTCATCAATAGAAAACCACGATAGTTTTTTGTTAAAGTACATAATTTTAAACTGCAATAACGATTTCAAGGTAAAGAACAAACCTGTTTTCTAAACAATCCAGCTTTTTCCAAGTTATTCAACGTTCCCATGTGCTCAAATCCATAACTATGGAGGAGCTCTCTCCTAAACCAAGAGTTATGAACTATATGAGTAATAATTAACACGAAATGCAACATTCTCTAAACAGCGAATGTTGGCTGTAATATAAGGAGGTCAAAGCTTTTCTTGCCTCAAATAGTCAAAATGTTTTTTGGGCAACCCTGAATTTGTGATAGAAAATAAGACAAGAAGACGAAGGACATTTATCAGTGATTCTTGCTTATGGATCATTTCTTCAATGTACTCGAAACATCTGCAATCATCAACAATATTATTTTAGCTTTTAACTCTCAGACAACGTGACAAATCTCATCAATCAGAAAGGTGCAATGATAAACGTACAAGAGGCAGATTTTGTTACAAGAAGAACACGGCAATATTACAATTTCGCGATTACTTACATGGCTTTAAGAAGAATCAACATATACTTGATTCAGGATACAATAACATACAAGCCAATGTCATAAGGTGACCAAATAAAACAATGATCTTTGTCTCTACGTCTTTTCAATAGTTAAGAAAAAATATAGTATAATAAGCAAAAAATTGTCCCCCCCCCCTTTGTCTCTACGTCTTCCCCCCCCCCCCCCCCCATGTTTCCAATAGCAGCAAAAAAGCCAGCTTACATGTCATAACTCTGAGCCTCAATAATTGTGTGCTCCATGTCAAGTTTCCCCAGAAATGATGGCTTTGATGTGAAAGTTGACAGGTGCTGAGCAAGATTTATATGCCTCTAAAGCAATAATTTGCACCACTTTAAAAACCCAAACCAAGAAAATTCTAATTATAAAGTTAAAACTAAAATTTTCAATTTAAAAAATACATACAGTCATTTCTGGCAATGAGTTCAGCTTTTTGACAAAGTCCTTCAATTCAGAAACTGATTGGCTCTGTATTACATACCAGTCCATTAGAACTAAAAAAAACAGACAAAGCTTTAAATTGATTTTCAGTGATTGTGACGTAAATACAAAACAACATGATCTTGTTTCAAGCTGTTCACTTACCGTGGTTGTCATCTCTGTGTAGTCCTGCTTCATGGATGTTGCTTTTTGACGTAGAATCTGCAATCATACTGCAGATGGCAACTAAGACATTGGAACTCCAAAGGAATCGTTTACTATACTGGATGCTTAAAAGAGACAGTATTTGGAAAAGGAAATGAATAATGAAAAGGAACATAATCTGCTGAAAAAAGAATCAACCTGGACAACAACTTCGAAGTTGAGATCCCGTATCTCCTTAAAGAGCTTGTCACTACGATATGGCAAGGAAAGTAAGGAAACAGAAACACAAATACAGTGTAGTAAATTCTGAAAGCCACAATACAAGCTCATAAAGTATATGCAACTAAAGGGATTGAAGAAAAGGCTCCATAGTATATATAATGTTTTCTATAAGAAGCAAGATATCATTGCATTGTACTATGAAATATATAAAAGATAGTATTTTACCTAGAATTAAGTGGAACTTTGATCTTCTTTCCTTCTTGCTGAACACCCATGATAGATGCCTCAAGCTCCACTGCACCATTGTTTATGTGCAAAAACTGCATGAGACCAACAAGGGATAGCTTAACCAAAGAGAGCAATTATCCTCCTTTTATTCTCATCAGGGATGTGCTGTGTTTAACCTGTCCTTAAAATTTAGCATTAGGCTTAATTTCACTGGAGTCCCATGAATTTTCGGATCACTCCTAGTTTGCCCTTAAACTTTAAAAACTCTTACTTTGACCTCTGAAATTTAAATTAATCCCATTTAAGACCCACTATAAGAATTTAGGTTAAAATAAACAGGAAAAAAGGGAGTGGTGCGGTCACATGGTCTTTTGGTTAGAATTTTAGTTAAAAACTGATAGATCCCACACAGAGAATAGCAAAGAAATGATAGGAAAAGAAGCTGGAAGTTTGTATTAATGGAAGCCAATCGCAATACAGGAAATGCAAGAAAGTAAGATAGGTATTGAGCTTTCGAGAGGCTCAATTCTCTCCCAGAGGAACTACTATTCTTTACTCACTAATTGCCTGCCTATTTTCCCGCAATTCCCCCTACTTATTCCATTACAACTGAATTCCCGTGTAACTAACACAGATCCCCAGGCTCCCCCACAAGTTACCCAATTAGGCCTTACCGTACCAACTAATTCCCCCCCTCACGTGCTTGTCACGCCTAGCATAAGTGAACCGAATAGGGGGCTTATCAAAAACAAATGCAAAAAAGACTACGTGACCATACTAAATCCCCTCTCTTTTCCGTATGATTTTTAACAAATCCTTATAAAACTTATAAAAGGGATTAAGTGCGACTAAATCAAAATTCAAGAGGCAAAGTGAGAGTTTTTAAAGTTCCGTGAGAAAACTAGGAATGACCCCAAAATTTTGGGGGCACAGTTACCTTTTAGCATTAACACAAAAAAAAAAGAAATTAAAAAATAAAAAATAAAAAATGTTGAACATCTTACTACCAGAAATCAGTTGGGTTCATTCAGGTGTTTCATGTCGAGAAGAACTTATTTGACGTAAAGCGAACAAAGCAACCTATTCCAGATCATAGTAATTGTAGGGGAAAAAAAAAATGTCCACCGTGCTAATTGACATAGTACACAGAATCTCAAGCTTGAAGGCCAAAAAACCAACTCAAGTTTACCGTTTATAATCTTTCAGTTTAAAATACTGCCCCATTACCACAGTGGCTTACCTCATCAAGAAGCCCCTCATATGTTAGTTGAGAACACATAGGAGTTACCATATCCACCTGAAGCAAAATACACCCAATTAAACCACTTTTGAGCAACACCGTTGGTTTTATTTGCATTGGCATCATCAGACCATTGTAATATCATTTCTATAAACTTGGCCTCCTCAATCTGTGATTAATAGGTGATAAAATTATCTAGGAAGATTTTCCTATGGGTTCTATATCTATTTGTTTGCAACATTTTACCTCATCGATCATTAATTGATACGTGAGGGACATTTGTTAAAACTTAAAACGAGTTATCATATCCAAATTCCATTATAACAGCTGGAAAAAATATGCAACAAGGGGGGAGAGAGAGAGAGAGAGAGAGAGAGTTACCTCCCTATCTAAAAGAATAAGAGTATTTATCTCTGGCACAACCATCTGAAATCCGCATACAGCATCAGAGATTCCCACAAAAAACAAAACAAAATGAAAGAGAGATCAGTGAGAAAGAAGCATGTCGTGCACATATTTTCATTTTCTGCTAAGAAAAGACTATAGAAAACCAATATTTTAAACTCAAATCTGTTATATGCTCTTTTGTCAGTAAGGGCTTGAGGTAATGCATATTACCTCAGGCGAGTTAACTGGTTCCTCTGCTTGCATATGGTTTAGTATGTCAGCAACACGTACTGATGCTTTGCCTTTGGCCCTCACATTTGGTATTACACCAAAAGAAGACTGCAAAAGAGTACCCAATACACGATTTTCAGTTAATTACAAAGACTGTGAATTAGAATACACAGGACCATTCATAATTCTGAAGGACTCAAGGGAAAATTTCAGGGCATTATCTTGTCATTACTTTCGTTATACACTTTAGGAACCCATTGTTATACAACTTAATCAACTTAAATAGATGGTTGCTGGAAAAAGAAATAAAAATAAAAAAAATATAACAAACTCGTAAGCGTACTTTCATACTACCTCAAGCTTGTGAATGGCTTTTGCAATATGCCAAAGTGAGCTTGTATCACCATCGACTTGATATTCCTAACATGCATACAAAGTATATATCAGCAAAGAATTGTCATCCGAAGCTAATTATGCTCAAAACTGATAAGGTAGATTTTCTTGCATACTTTATAAGCAAGATCCAATTCAAATGATAGAACATCCTCATCCAATGGAAGAATGTACAACGGGTACTCCCCTACAGTCAACAAGTGATGGACTTTTTCCTCTTCAAGGATCTGTGTAACCAAAACGATACCTTTACAACATCTTTCCAGCAAATCATGCTCTTAATAACATTAATGGGCAATAAGCGGTTACCTTTTCGCAACCAACCGCACGGCGGGGGACAAAATAAACGTAATACTCCCTCTGAAGACCTTTAGATAAGTCATTATGAACATGTGAACTAATGAATTTCATCAAGTTAAGCTGAGAACGGACAAGGTACACCACTTTGGCCAAATCGGTTTGAATTGGATCGGCCGAGAGATACCGCAATTCAACCCCATGTTCCTGCTTGCAAATCATTACTAAAATGCATTAAATTCCAAATTTCCCATCACCTAATTTCCATCATTTCAAGAAAAATCCCAGTTAATTAAAACGACTTCTCCGCACTTAAAACATCAAATTTGAGTAATGAGGTAAACAAAATTCGCTATAAAAGTCCAAACGCCATATGAGGGAAATGAATTCACAATAAAAATGGTTCATCGCGATTCGTTTTCTAGGGAAAAAAAAAAAAAAAGAAACGTACCTTGAGAAGCGAAGTCTGGATAATCGATGAGAGAGATCCACCGAGCTTCGGATCGATCACCAAACACTTCTTTCCTCGAATCTACAATTTTCGCAAAAGAATTCAATTTCGATTATTACACATACAGACACAAACACAGAAATTTATATATCACAAAACAAAACAGATCAGTTTACGAACTCTGAGAATTTTGACAAAAAACTCACATTCTTTAGGATGTTTATAAGCTCTTTCTGAGACTGTTCCCTGGAATATAAGTATTCATGAGCCAAATATGATCATTTTCAAAAGAAAAATATAGTGAATTTAAACGGTAGAATTAGATGTTATTACGATGGAATTAAATAGAAAAATGCGGTATTGGAAGATACCTGAGGGCTGTGAGATTGAGAGGAGCATTGTCTAAGTTTGGAATTTGAGCCATTGAAGTGAAACTTCAGAATTATTATTTTCTTTTCGTAGCGGAAAATGCAGAGGAATTGGTTTTGTGGAACTTGGAAGACGACGATCGTAGAGAGGCTGGTGAGAAGAGAATGGGCCTGGACTGTTCCACTCGGGCTTAACTGAGCTTGGACGGGATGGAAAACCAGGCCTTTTTTTCAATATAAATTGTGTTATTTGCACGATTATAATGACATTTCTATTTTTTATTAACTACTTATAACCACCTAAAAAAATATTTAAAATAATATTATCTCAATAACTATAAAATAAATAGATTAATAAGATTATTAAATAAATGATAAACTCTAAATATAGTGTATAAAAGTGATCATTTTGTATAATGCCAAATTCTAACATTGAAGTAGGAATATTTGCAAAGTAAAACCTCTAAAATTTACTATCGTAATGAGATCCTTAATACTAAATTTGACATACGATATATTTAATTATAAATTAAACATTGTATTACTCCTCATGCCTTTTTTTTAAAAGATATAAATGTTATTCTTAAGCCAAAAAGAAAAATATTAAATTTAATATATAAGACTATCTCCAATACAAAAGTTAATTATATATTTGGCACTAAAAAAGTATATTTGACATGTTATTCTTATTTATTCTCTAATGCATATAGTCCTTCTTTTCATATTTGTGTGATTGCTGGAGTAAGAGACAAGAGTAATCATTCACTATTCTCTAAATTGTTCAATAACGCTCATTTACTATGTGGTACGTATTATTTATGTTTAAACTCCTTACAGAATAATATTAGACCATATCCAATGTACTTGTATATTTGGCATTAAAATATACGATAGAATAAATTATTTTTATTTATGCTCTAATGCATAATGCCATTTAAAATACTAGATTCACTTTTTCCCGTAAGCTTTGAAAGTTGTAAAAGTTAATTCTTACTTCTAAAATAATTTGAAAAATAAATATTGCAATGATTAAATAGAAAAAAGTAAAGATGACAATTAATAGAAATCAAGCACTAAGTTTGCAATATGGTATACTTGGTGAAATTTTTTTCACAAATAATAATAAATTAAACGTCATACTGTGGATAGTCTTTATTTTGATTTGACATAAGGGAGAGAATGAATAAATATTTTTCCTTCTCATAAAACAAGTAGTGTTCAACATTAAGGTAAGAGGTTAAGGACATGTATGATACACCATATAAGCACTTCATATTGTATTGTTCAATAATAATATAATGTTTGGTGGCATTTATACATTATATAATTTAATACGAGATTCAAAATTAATACAATACGAAATGTGATATCTAATATGAATAAAAAAATTATGTATTAGACTATATTATGCAATTTAATTTAAAATACTATATTAAAAATATATAAAATATTTCACAAATATCAAAGCTCGGGATTGGGTTTTGGGATCAGCGTTGTGGTCGAATTTTAGGACCGGAGTGATGTTGGGTTTATATTTTTTTAAAATTAAATTTTGACTTGGAAACTTTTTAAAAATTATATTTTGACCCCCTAAACTTTAAAAAACTATGTTTTGACCCTTCAATTTTTTATAATAATATTTTGACCCCTCTACTTATTTAAAATTATATTTTGCCCCTTATTTTTTAAAAATTACAATTTGGCATCATTTTTTTAAATTTTTTTGCAAAATGATCCTTATGTAGCAACTCTACTTTCTCCCTTACTTTCTCCAAATGTTGAGTTCGGGTCGAGATTAGGTCGAATTAGGTTATGATTAGGCCTAAATTTTACCTTATTACAAAGTAATACATAAATATATTACAATGGTAAAAATAATATAATATTTAATAATATCACCAACCAAACTGCGTATTGTATAAAAATTATACAATGCAATATAATATTATACAATATGATACGATACAATACCATACATTACAATACAATATGGTGCACCAAACATGCCTTAATCTATATAGAAAAGAAATACAAGATAAAACTAACATTCGGCCTACGAAAAATAAAATTGAAAAAATCACCATTAATAGATCTGTTCTCCCTGATAGTAGAGGGCTCATTAAAAGTCAAAACCTTGTCAAATAAAAACCCGAAAGGGCAAAAACCTCACAAAAGAAAAAAGAACATCCCGTTGATTTTTGCTATCAAAAAAATGCCAACATCAAAGATCAATCCTTTGCCATTTCCAGATGAATCTTGCGCTCTTCACATCCTGCTATACAAAGTAACGAATCATTATGGCTACATACATAACTTTAAAATTAATAAGAGCTCCAAACAAGATACAACATATTTATAATATATATATATATATAATGATTTTACTAGATGGCAGATTTACAACTACATATCAATCATTTGCATTTAATCAACCATGATAATCAGTATTATAAAAGTCCAAGCCAACCACGTATAACTTCTAGTCACATGCAAAAAATAAAGAAAATACTGCGAATGTTGAACAGATAATTATTTACATACCGTGGTTCGGACATGATCAGATGCTATGGTGCAGGAAGATCAAGGTCTCGAATGATCTTTCCAACAATGACTGTAATATCATCCACTTTGCCTCTTTGAGTACTCTTTTTTCCCTCCATTTTAGCCGCAATCTCAAAAGGACTTTGATAAGACTCGTCAAACGAATTTTTAAAAGCTACTCTTGCTATCTTGAATGCCAACTCCGGTTAGGCGCGTTTGGAATTCGTTTCAAAATAATTTTATTTTTTGTATGAAAATAAAAATGAAAACGTTTTCAATCTAAGACAGAAATTATTTTAAAAAATGCGTTTGGTAGTTTTATTAAACGATTGTTTTCAGTGTGAAAAAACTCATTAATGTCTTTCTTTCTCTTTCTCTACTCGAGAGAGGAAAAAACGAAAATAAAAAATAAAAAACGATTAAAGTCATTTTTCATTTCTCTCTCATTTTACACTAAACTAAAAAATCATTTTCATTTTTATTTTTTGTCTTTATTACATCAAACGCCGTTTTGAAAATATTTTTATTATTTTTTCAAAAAACCTGAAAAATAAAAACGGAATTAATTTTAAACACGGTCAATATTGCTTCATCCTAGCCTGTCTTGATGATCTCCTCGATTTCCGGCGGAAACATGTTGTCTAACATTCCATCTGTTCCCACCACTATCAGATCTCCCTCCATCACTCTCACTTCTATCAGATCTCCCGAACACCATGATGCATTTTCTCTTTAAATATTATCCACCATAAATTCAATACTAACAATCTCATTCTACACAATTGCAAGTACATGTAATGGTCTTTACCTATTTTGAAGTCATGGATTTTCCGACCATTAAGGCTAAATGCTTAACTTACGTGGTAAATATTTTATCTATTATCCGAACATCTTATGTGTTCTTGGTAAATAAAAAATTTATCGTGTAAATAGATCATTTACGAAATAAAGAATCATTTACCGTAAATGATTCATTTATTGTAACATTTTTTAAAAATATTTTGATAAATGGTCTATTTACCAAAAGACTCTTGGTAAATATTATGATTCTAACGAAATGACAATTCCAACAACTGCTCTAGCAATGGCTCCAACGACAGTTCTGGCAATGACTATAACTCCGGCGATGCCGATGGCAACGACAGCAGTTCCGATGATGGTTTCAACGAAAGTTACTAATTGTGAGAAAAGAAAGGAAGAGAATAAGATAGGGTATTTTAAGAATTTTAATTAGTTACAACAATTATGTTATTTACTTTAAAAATGAACTTTTATGCTATTTGATTTAGTTATATGAATCAAACATTGCTCTCTCTCTCTCTCTCTCTCTCTCTCTCTCTCTCTCTCTCATGTCTCTATTCTCTCTCTGTGTTGAGTTTCACCGCCCCTCTCCTTTCTTTCTCCGCCAATCGCCGTTGCTGATAACCAGGCCGACGTCGTGAATCGAACTCCAAACAAGGCGTCGTTGCGAACAAGATTCATGACCTGCGAAGACCGGAGTTGCGAACCGCTTGCGGCGAACTACATCGCGAAGATCAGCCTTCGCTGAAGATCGCGAACCGCCGTTCTCATTGCCACCTGCGACATCTCCCCGGCGAGAGATCCAGTAGCGATCTTCTCCTTTGTTTTGCCCTTTGTTGCAGGCTCACCGGTGGCGCCTCGCGAGATAAGTTTGGTCGTCGATTCGTTGTCGCTACTCTTCCCACCACCGAAGAAGCAAGATGTCGCGAGCAGATCCGTCGTGGGGAGAGAGTCACGCTAGTACATCCGACTTTGCTCCGGATTTGTTGAACGTCGGAGAAGTGCAGTTCTTGTCGATCTGCTTCAGAACGTCGGAGAGCACTAGGATTGACGGCGGATAAGAGAGATGTCGTTGCCAGAAAAGATCATCTGAGATCGTGCTTTGGTCTATTTGAGTTTGTGGGTTTTTTTTTCCCCCTTTTCTTAGAAACGGTGTTTTTTTTTGGGCTAAGGATGATACGAATATACCGGCCATCGGAGCGAGTGGCTTGATTTACCAGTCGCGAGGATCGACCGCTGGCGCCGAACATAGTAAATCTGACTAGAGGGGAGAAGAAAAGAGAGGTGGGAAGTAGAGGATTTAAGAGTATTTTTTAGTTTTCTTTTAGTGTTGGAAATTAAAGATATCAAATTATGTTATAATTTACTTATTTTAAAAAGTAGTTATAATTTACTAATTATCTTATCAAATATGTTTCACTCATTTTTCTTAAACGGACGGTAATTAATCAAAGATAAACTACTAATTGTTGTAAAAGTTCTATAAATTTCTCAAAGGGTCCCTCCTCTAATAAATTAGACCCAAAATTAAAAACGATTGCAACAATGAGTAGGGGTGTAAATCGGCCGGGTAGGGTAGGGTTGAGCCGAAAAATTGAGCCTACTCGATCAGTGCGGGTTGAGAAAATTTTGGGCCGCGACACTCTCTTAACTCTACAAACCTGCAACCTTTCGGGTGACCCCGGGTAGGGTCGGGTTACTCGGGTTGGTGATCTCAATGACCACATGATCACTTTTGAATCAATTAATTTGTGCTTGTTACAGAAGAAATCATTATCAAACAAAACATGTCTTTCCTTCAAGAGGGGGTCTAAATGCAAGGTGAACAATTAAAACACTCACTTTGAAATCAAACACTTCCAATATAAATAAAGAATGTCCTAATTCAATAACTATGACATACAAGCATTTTTTACACAAACCGTGAATTTAAAACATAAATAAGTTAACAGTTTAAATGCATAAAGTCCATAAACTTATGAAAGTAAGAATTTGAAGTGTTGGACATTGTTTTACCTACTTTGAACATGTTCGGCCGGGTAGGGTTACCTCGGGTTCATGTAACCCCACCCCGCGCCCCTACCCGCGCAGTGCGGGTTAGACATAATTAAAACTGAAAATTAAATAAAAAATTGGAAACCCGTGATTTTCGAGTAGGGTCGACTCAGCTCGGCCGGGTTCGTCAGGTTCAGGGTGATTTCTTACAGCCCTAACAATGAGGCCCGTTAGTTCATTCTGTATAAATGAACGTGAGATAAACCACGCCTAAATGACGATAGAAGGCTGTCCCTTCTAAATTTTTTCCTTTTAATTTAATATGTATATTTTTCTGAAATTTACTATCTACTCCCTCTCAAATCTATCCGCTCTCCCTTACTAATTTTTCCGATTCTGCCCTTAAGAAGACGAAGCTCCCCATATTTTTTTGGGGAGTAAGAAAAAAAAAACGGAGGTAAAAGGAAGCTGTAGCTATCACATTCACGGATCACGTAATTAAAAAAATTAGAAGTTGAGAAGAGAAGCATGAAGATGAAGGTTTACTGATTTAAAATTTTAATTTGAGTTAAAATACGATTTTATGTGAAATTTTTTTATTGTAATAAAAAAATTAAATATAAAAAACTTTTTATTATAATAAATTTTAAATTTTAAATTTAAATCAATAAGTGTTCGTTTAGTTTGTGTATTTAGAATCATGATTTAAAATTATTCTTATTTTATGTGTATTTTTTTAAAAAAAATATATTATAAAAAATTATGAATCATAATTTAAAATTAATGATAAATATAAAAAATAAACGGACTCTAAGATAAAATAAACGGTACTTAAATTAACAGCCGTGAAGGTTTTAACTTCGAACACACAAAGGATTCCACGAGCCATCCACCTTCATTGGGTAAGGTTTGTGTCACGAGCCATGCAGCTTTATTCGCTTCCTAGACGTAGACGTGGGTGATTGGAGCCCATCTTCCATCACCTACATTATTTTATTCGCTTCCTTTTGCTTTTATTATTATTTTTTCCATCTCAAATGACGTCATCAAATTTTATTCGGTTGGTCAAACTCACTATTTATTTGAAAGGTCATGTTTACCCTTCCCATTCTTCCTTTCCTATATATTCGGCTGATTAATATTTCACATTTGTTTCCTTCTAAAGTTGAGACGTTTACAGAATCTTTGCGCACGTTTTTTTATCTAAAAAACTTAAAAAAAAAATAATTTAAATTTATTTTTTTTATGTTTTAATTTTATTTAATTTTATTTAAATTTTAATTTCAACTCAAGTTATAACTCAAAAATTACACTCTAAAAGAACAACTCTTTTATAACGTTGGTAAAGTCTTTTTTTTTTCTTCATTTTGGTGGCACTTACTTAATTGTTTTAAGAATTTTTTTCTCCTCAAATTTGGCTAATTAATATGTCAATGACATAAGAACTCGTATTTAATCTGACAAAAGTAGAATAGATTTTACAGACTGACATATGAGAATGAGTCTTACTTTTATAATAGAACTCGATTCAACTTCATGTAAATTGAGTAAGATTTTTTTAATAACACATACCGCCTACTATACGCCATCAAAAAATGAAAAGCCTAAAAGTGATTTTTTCATTTTTTATTTTATTTTATTTTTTGCTGTTGGCCTTACAAGTTCCTCTAAAGGGCCGTATTTACCCTATATCTAAGACGTCATTTTTAGCTTTTCCTTTATGTAATTTTTACCACAAAAATTAGCTAGTAACGACTACCATTGGGTCATTTGGTGATTTGAATACCCTAAAAATTCATAAATAGTGAGAATGTAAAAACATTGAGATAGGTAACAAATGTAATGAGATCCAAAAAAAAAAAAAAAAAAACCTTATTCTTTGTTATCTACTTGGCCACAAAAATTATGGTCACATCATATGATATATAGGGTGTTGCATATGACAATTTGTTTAATGACCAGACATGTGAATTACCTACCTAGTACAAGTATAGATGTATTTTCCAAGCAAAAAAAAAAAGGAAAAATTATTGATATATTTTAATAACCAAATATGTACGTAACTGACCACATCCACATCATTAAAATAGATTGTTTATCATTAAGAAAGTATGCTGATTATAGAGCTTCTGATTATATTATATAAAATATATATTTTTTATTTTCATTAACAATAAATTTTTTTAAAAAATTGCAAAGATTTAATAAAATACCTAAGGTTCCGAGTTTGACTATTCGAGCATGATGGTGCGCATCAAAACATTTAAAGTAACCCAACAAAGCAACACACCTTCAAAGGAAAAAAAAAAACAAAAAAAACAACAACAACACGCAGCCACAGCCAAGAAACTAACAATGCCATCTTCAGCCATATGAATAAAAAATAAACATAAAGGCAATATTTTAACATTAAAGAAAAATACGGGTATGTTCATTTTACAATTCAAGTCATTACTTGAGTTATAACTTTAATTGTGTATGTAAAAAAAAAATATTATAATAAAAAAATTAAATTTAAATTTTTATAAAAGAAAATATTATAACAATAAAATTTGAGTTGTAAAATAAGTCTATTTACGTCTACTTTAAATTATCTTCTAAACCTTTTGAAAGATATATAAAGCAGTGCATAAAACACATAACATAAAACATGCGATTCGAGTAAGATTTGGGAAGCAATTTACTTGTGAAACCAAATGAGAATGAAAGAGGAAACAAATGATTCTTCATTTTCAATTCAAATTCTGCATGATGGCAACGTAGATCACAATATAAAAACAAAGGATTTAACTACCCCCATAATCGGAATGTAATCACAAATTGGTCGTCAACGATCAAAATCGTACCAAAAATAACAATTGAGCATTTGACACATTGGGACTTTATACCTCCACAAAAAAATGTTTGAAGTTCCAAATTAAATTGAATGTGTGTGGCATGATGGTAAAGTTGTTTTAGTTGGAGTCAGCTTTCTTATTTTTTTAGAAGAGTTACGACACATGTCTTCATAAACTCTTCTAATTGCGTTAAACCGGGCATAAAAACATAACTAATTATTTTTTTTTTTCTTATGCTCTTTAGTAAGACAGTCTACCATAGGTAGGGCTAATTATTTTCATATATTCTCTAATATAAACATATGATGATTAAAAAATAAAAAATTACCGATAGTTTATTTTTTTAAAATCCTGTCAAAGAAATTTCTATTTCTTTTTAAATTAACAAAAAGTAATCCTTTTTCCTTTAAAAAAAACACGGGGGTTAATTTGGTAATTCAGGTACAACGAGAAGCCCGACTTTTCCGATGATCCGATCCCATCCAAACCAAAAATAGAAAAACAGAAAAAGAAAAATAGAAAATATGTAAGAATAGCAAAGTGGGACCTCTGTCTTCCTGCACACCGTCGTAACAGTGCATCCAAATCCCCGTGTCCGATTCCCAACGCAAAACCGTTTCCAACAATCCATAACTCAATTTCTTCCCCCTCTCTCTCTCTTTCTGTCTATATCTCATTATGACCACCGCCATTCGCCTGCGCCGGCTCGGTGCTGCCGCCGCGATTGCCGCGGCGTCCGGCGGCGCGCTCCTCCTCAACCAGCCGTCGTTCTCCGTCAGCGACAGCGGCGGCGTCCCAGCCCTCTCCACCGTCCGGAAGAAGATCGCCGATCCGAACGCCGTCGTTCCGCCTAGGTCGGTCCAGGAGTCGGCTCTGATCGGCGCTAGCTCCGCCAACCCGCTCGACATTCTCGTTATCGGTGGCGGTGCGACCGGAAGCGGAGTCGCCATCGACGCCGTCACTAGAGGCCTACGCGTCGGCCTCGTCGAGCGCGATGATTTCTCCTCCGGAACGTCGTCGCGCTCTACGAAGCTAATTCATGGAGGTACGTTGTCTCTATTTCGAAATCTGCCTTGGCGTATGGTTTTCTGTTGATCAGTTCGAGAGTCGTTGATCGTTTTTTGAGGGAATTGAGTGGATTTTTGTTTGTTGATTCGCAGACTTGTTCAAAAACGTCTATGTTTTTCATCTGTTCATTTGTAGTATGGATAATTATATAGAAATTTGGACGAACCTTGACATAATCACGCGTTGGAAACTGGAAGAATACCATGGTGGCTATATCCGCTTATCGTTAAACCTATAGGGTCAACAATTCATAAAACGATATAGACCAAAACAAAATGAAAGACATACAACGTGAAAAAGAAATTGTGGAAATTCTTTGATCATCAGCTTAAGAGATTTCCACCTTCTAATTTACTTCTGAAAACTAAAGTTAAAAACGAAATGTCACCAAACAAGTTTGTGAATAACCTTTTTCTTATTCGGTCATTTAAGAATTTTTTTCCCCTGATAATATGGTCATTTAGAATTTTTATTTTTTTTTAATTTTTTTTTAAAATTTTGGTGCTTATGGACTAGAAAATGACATGATTTTGTTCAGGAGTTCGGTACTTGGAGAAAGCCGTGTTTAATTTGGACTACGGGCAGTTGAAACTGGTGTTTCATGCTCTGGAGGAGCGTAAGCAGGTTATTGAGAATGCACCACACCTCTGCCATGCTTTGCCTTGCATGACACCATGTTTTGACTGGTTTGAGGTAGTGTACTACTGGATGGGCTTGAAAATGTATGATTTAGTTGCCGGGGCGCGCCTGTTACATTTGTCGAGATATTATTCTGCACAAGAGTCCGTTGAGCTCTTCCCCACTCTTGCAAGGAAGGGCAAGGATAGAAGCTTGAAAGGCACAGTGGTATATTATGATGGACAAATGAATGATTCTCGGCTTAATGTTGGTTTGGCTTGTACAGCTGCATTAGCTGGTGCTGCTGTGCTTAACCATGCAGAAGTAGTGTCATTTTTGAAGGATGAGGGTAGCGACCGGATAATTGGTGCAAGAATCAGAGACAATTTCACAGGTACCACTCAGTTTAAATAAATTAATGTCATGGATGATGTGCCATTTTCTTTAGGCAATTCTTTCTAATCTTAGTTAAGAAATTTGAACTGTTCTTGTAGAAAAAAATAATATAGGTTGATGTTGAAAACTGAAATAAGATTAGTTATATTACTGATTGTGCTTGTTGTTAAATACCATAGTTTGATGTACCGGGTTTTCCAAACATCACATGTCTTTAGGTTTTTATTTCAAGAGAACTAAATCTTAGGTTTCACCAAGAGTAACCTCCATAGCGCTTGCTACTGTTAGCAATGAAAATAAGTTTCATGTAGTTGGGGTTTTTGAAATGCTTATTTTCTGGTTTTACTATTTTTGTTCTTCTTGTTAAAAGTCCTTTGTGTTAATTAAACCAGGAAAAGAGTTCGATACGTATGCAAAAGTTGTTGTTAATGCTGCTGGACCATTTTGTGACTCCGTAAGAAAATTGGCTGACAAAGAGGCACGACCTATTATCTGTCCAAGTAGCGGCGTACATATTGTTCTCCCTGATTATTATTCACCTGAGGGAATGGGTTTAATTGTCCCAAAAACCAAGGATGGTCGTGTTGTTTTTATGCTGCCATGGTTGGGCCGAACTGTTGCTGGCACCACAGATTCCAATACTACTATCACTCTACTTCCTGAACCACATGAGGATGAGATTCAGTTTATACTTGATGCCATTTGCGACTACCTCAATGTTAAGGTATGTGATCCAAAGTTCTCTGTATTTTCTATTGTGTTGCATCTTTTCTTAGACAATCTCTGAGGAGAGTCTCGTAAGCTGTATACTAGTTGTTTTGAGATATAGCTTCTTAGATTGTTGAAAATCTTTAAAGAAAGACAAAAATGTGGTAGAGTTGATTGTTAGAAAAATCACAGAGAGAACCAGCATTATGGCTGAGGATTTGTTATTTTCTTTAACAGCTTAAAGCATAATTCTTTCTATGTGGTTCACCAATGGAAAGAAAAGGAAAAGAAAAAAGTATAATGTCACAAGTTTCTTCTTATTTGATCTTTAAGTTCACAAGCATAGCATTTAGTATTAGGGACTCAGGCTAGGTGTTTCCTTTTCCTTTCCTCATCCAGTTTACATGTGGGACTAAGGTAATGCCAGAAAATTTAGGTACGGCGTGCTGATGTTCTTTCTGCTTGGAGTGGTATTCGCCCATTGGCAATGGATCCATCAACAAAAAACACTGAGAGCATCTCCAGGGATCATGTTGTATGTGAAGATTATCCTGGTTTAGTTACAATCACTGGTGGAAAGTGGACAACTTACCGCAGGTAACATTTATTTGGTTGAGCTGATTTTACAGTATAAAAGTTGTTGAGGATTTCCATTTACCAGCAATAGTGACTAGGTATTTTCACTTTCAGGCTTTTCCAATTATGAGTTTATCTAACATTTAAAGTCTTAGTCTATAGTCTATTTCACGTGGTTTTATTATAGCACCTTTTTTTTTTTTGGCCCCCTAGTGAGCTTCATTTCTAAGTATCATGAATTTTAGGGAAGTTTTCTGCATCACGATCGGTGAAAGGTTGTGTTTCTGTGTGATTGGTGATGCTATCAGCCTATACTCTTTTTTTCAATTCTCTTTCTTCCTGTTTGTTATGTCCATACAACTATTTGGGACTTTTTTTTTGGCTTGTACCACGCAGTTACTTGTACTTACTTGAACCTTTTTTTCAGCATGGCAGAAGATGCTGTTGATGCAGCCATAAAATCTGGAAAACTGAACCCCACAAATGAGTGTTTGACTCAAAAGCTGCGTATTGTTGGTGGAGAGGGATGGGACCCTGCATCTTTCACAGTTCTGGCTCAACAATATATACGCATGAAGAAGAGTCATCGTGGTAAAGTTGTTCCTGGGGTTATGGACACCGCTGCAGCAAAGCATTTGTCTCATGCGTATGGTACTATGGCCGAAAAAGTTGCGAGTATAGCTCAGGTTGGTTTTTCTTGCTCCAAATTACAGTAGTTTATTGTTATATAGTATTTCTGTGAACTTTTATTACCTCTTACTTGCATGGAAACAAGATTATTTTAAGTAACGTATTTCTCTTACTAAGGTTTTATAGTCTTGGGCCTTGCATGCTTTCCACATTCAACGTTCTTAAATTAGGTTTGATTTTAAAATGTTTTATGTTAAAACTTTTCCCAAACAACTCATTTATCAACCAGCTAAAATTGTTGTTAACCTCATTGATGGTGAATATTCGAGCGTCAGATGGAGTGGAATCTTGCCTTCTGTTTTTGGTTTAGTAATGTAATACACGAGTACAGATGGGGATGGGATGGAGTGGAACCAAGATCTGCTAATGAACCATATATTTTGTTAAGAAGTACGGAACCCAACCCCATACTCATGCGTGTGCACAAGTCAATAATGTAATGAGGAGACTTTAATTTTTAAATCATCATGAAAATTGGAGATTATTCCGTCATTTTGTTGGAGATGATGTGTTCTGTTTGTTGAGCACATGTTAAATGCGCATACATGAAATGCCAAAAGTTTGCTGGTCAATCTAATTTGCCTGTCCATGTACTCGGCTAATGGGGCCTTCATTCAGCAATGCTTTCGCTTGAAATTCAAAATGCTCAAGTGTGAAATATTTGTAAAGAAAACATGCTGTTCGCATGAAATTGCGTCAAATCATGAGAGTTAAAAGACCGATTTGGTATGTGGAGTATCTGAGGCACTTTAAGAGAAATCTATAGTTGGACGTTGTGATTCTAGTAGTTTGTGAACACTCGGTAATTGATTCTAATATGCATGGATTGTGCAAGATTTTCTTTGGCTATTCATGGACGTTGTGCAAGATTAAAAATTGGCACTGTGTTTGCAAGGGTTTCTTTGGCTATTCATGTTTTTCTTTAGTGATTGAATATTAATTTGTCTATCTTTTCTGTTTTCAGAATGAAAATCTGGGGAAGCGACTTGCCCATGGCTACCCCTTTTTAGAGGCTGAGGTAGCTTACTGTGCTCGAAATGAGTACTGTGAATCTGCTGTTGATTTTATTGCTAGAAGATCTCGACTCGCTTTTCTTGACACAGATGCAGCATCCCGAGCATTGCCGCGCATAATCGAAATATTGGCAACCGAACACAAATGGGATAAGTTGAGGAAGAAGCAAGAAGTAGAGAAGGCTAAACAATTTTTGGAAACTTTCAAGTCCTCGAAAAATGCTCAGTTCTATGATGGGAAACATTAGTAACAAGTGATTGTTCCCGCGGTCAACAGACAGTTTTCTCTCCTCTCGTCTAGAACTGGAATCCGTTTCAATCAATGGCTTCAGTAACTACATCTAAAAGGAGCTTGATTGTTCACAGATACCTTGTTTGACAACAAATTTCTGGCGTTTACTTGATTTGGTGTAAACCGTTCTTTTCCTCCTTTTATTTGAGGACACAAGCTGATTCGTTTAATCGTTACAAACATAAACAATTCCATATATCACGTGTTTATATAGTTTACACAAGGTACTAAACTATTGTTCTCCAGCTCCTGTTACGCAGCTCTCTGCCAAAATAATTGTAATTTTCGGTAATCATTGTTCCCAGATGGTTCTGTTTTGCAAATATGTCCGTCTTTCTATTTGCTGAGGCCATTTCCATTTGTCATAGATACGTTTATCTTTCCCTTGATTGAAATTGAATTCTCAAGAGCTTTTTTTTTCTTTTACTTTTATTCGCCAAACTTGCAGCCTAATGTCTGTTATGAACATGTTAAATGAAAAGAAATTAATTGAAATTTGTGAAAGAAAAAGAAACAATTCGAAAACCGGGGACGAGGAGGCAGTTTGCCCGATACATGTTTTCCATTGTTTTGGGTTAAAAACACAAAGTACATGTCGTTTTTGTTCTAAACGACACGACGTGAAGTTTATAAAGATTGCGATTCATGATGTACAGTATAAGCGACGGTAAGTTCCTAAAAAATTAAAAGTATCAAGGATTAGTTATAATCGACAACAATTTAAGATACCAGAGGCATTTTGTTTAAATGATAATGCAATACTCATCGTTCTTGCTTTGGACGACGGTGGTTTTTGAAAAGGACGAAGCGGGATGTTGTTTGCTGATAAGCGACTTCGCAAGTCTAATTAATCTAGAATATGAGCCTCAGGATAAATAACGGATAAAACGCTTTTAAAAAGGAAAATGACATCACCGTGTCGTTTTCTTTACTCGGGACAACAAAAACCCATCCAAAAACCCCCTCAGGATTAAAGAAAAATTGCAAAAAAAATCTACAACCAAATATCGATAACGAGCAGAAAGGGAAAAAAAAAATAGGGGGGGAGTAGGAGTACAACCATACCGTACCGTTGGTTTTGATCGAAGGGCAAGGAGAAGTGAGATGCATTCCTAGTGTTAGAGAATATGATAAGTTATCCAATTCATTTCACCGATTTAAATTTAAAATTTAAATTTTATTATAGTAAAAAAATTTTAAAAACAGTCACATTTAATTTTTTATTATAATAAAAAATTCTCACATAAAATCACATCTTAATTTAAATTAAAAATTAAAATTAAAAAATTAAACGAACTCTAAATTTGTTATTAGGAAATTAGCTTTAGCTAGACCTGTACGGCTGGCATTATACTATTAGTTCCCTTTGTAATTAGATAACAGTATAAATGTACAGAGTTTCTCTTTTTTGAGTTTTTAATTTAAATTTAAATGTAATTTTATGTAAAAAAAATTTATTATAAAAAAAATTAAATATAATTATTTTTAAAATTTTTTATTATAATAAAATTTAAATTGATAAAATAAAAATACCTTAATTAATTGAGTCAATGAATAATTGAATGGTCCGTTTAGTTTGATGATTCGAGTTTTTAATTTGAGTTAATATGTGATTTTATGTGAGAATTTTTTACTGTAATAAAAAAATTATATGTGACTGTTTCTAAGAACTAGCAAAACTCAAAATTTAGAGTATGTTTGGTAGGAAAGAAAAGTAGAAGGAAGGAAGAAGGTGGAGAGATTTTGGGAGGAAAAATACAAATGTAGGCTGTTTGGTATGAGAGAAAAGAGAAAGGAAGAGAAAATAGAGTGAAAAATAATACATATGGGCCCCATCATTTTTTTTCTTTCCACAAGTGGGCAGAAAATGAGGATAACTCATTAAAGTGAGCAAAGTTACTAAACTACAATTTTCTCTATCAACATCCAAGTAAAAAATTTAAGGGTATAAAAGTAATTTACGAGTAATATTTTTTCTTTCCTCTCAATTTAACTTCCAATACCAAATAAGTGAAAGGTAAACTCATTTTCTTTCTATCTTCTCATACCAAACAACATAAAAAAAAATTAATTTTTTTTTCCATCATTACTATTTTCTATCACTTTCATATTTTCTTTATATCCTATTTTATTTCCTTCCTACCAAACAGAGCATTAAACTCGAATCGAAAGGAAAGGGCCGAGAATTCTTCCACAAACTTCTATTTTTCTCTTTCTTCTTTCTCTCTCGACACCTTATATGGTATCGGAGCTCATCATCTGTAATGGAGAAAACACCAGCGACCGCCATTGGAGAAGCTTCTGGTGCAGCAGCAAAGTTCGTTCCTGTCACGTTTAGTCACTTGATCTCGACTAAGCTCGACAATGATAACTACATTCTTTGGCGAAAACAGGCTTTGACGGTGATTCGTAGGTATAAGCTTCAACACTTCTTCGCCATTGCAATTTCTTTCCTCTGATGATGAAGATTTTGGCAATATAAACCCGAATTATCTGGATTGGGAGCAGCAGGACCAATTGGGTGTGAGAGAAGATTGAGTGAGCGATGGATAGAAAGGTTGGAAACCAAAAAAGGGGAAAAAAAAAAAAAAAAAAAAAAAAAAAAAAAATTAAAATGGAGGTTTTGATCGGCTGCCTCTCCACATAATTATTACCAAAGGATTTATGGGGCCCACTAGAAATCCTTCAAACTTCAGCCCTTGGATGCAGCTTTTTTAAAAAAAAAAATCCTTTAACCATAAAGAACCAGTGCACCATCATCATCGGGCCATTAACCAACAAAAAAGAAAAAAGAGGAGGAGCGAAAAAATGGTTTGTGTAGCAACAGCTTCACTCTCGTCCCTCCACCACCTCTCTTCTTCACTTCTCTCCTTATCCTCCCTCTCCCTCCGACCCTCCATACGACATATTCTCCCTCGCGTTTTGTGTTCTCTTTCATCATCCACTTCGGAGTTCAACATCTCCTTCGCTCCGGCCAAGCCCAAACCCCAACCGGAGGCCACGGAGGTCGACTCCCTCTTCGGCGCCGACGGCAGCCAGCTCTTCATCCCCTGGATCATCCGCGGCGACGATGGCAACCTTAAGCTCCAGTCTCACCCCCCGGCGCGCCTCCTCCACGCCATGGCCCACGCAGACACTAAGAACTCCAAGAAGAAGAAGCCAACGGCGGCGGAGAAGAAGAAGAAGAACGATAAAGCCGACAAGAGCGTCGCTGAGCCCAAGTATTCGAAGGCGGCGCGTCGGTTTTACAACGAGAATTTCAGGGAATCCGACCAGAGGCTCAGCAAGGTTCTCGCCGCTGCCGGAGGTAATAATAATCTCTCTCTCTCTCTCTCTGAAGCTTTTATTTCTCGAGAAAATGCAAATGTGTGATGGTCGATGGTGTGAAAAGTGAGTGAGGGAGCGAAATGAATAGAAAATTTATTGGATTGGTGAGAAAAGTTTCGCTGAACACTGGAATTTGTGGTTGCAAAACGGGGAAGAAAAAAAAAATCAGTTGCAGATTGTTTTGTGGATTGGTATAATAACTCAAGAAAGAAAATGGTCGATCGATGGTTTTTGGATAATTTATGAGTTTATTCTTTTCGCAACATAAATGAATTTGTGATGGTTTGATTTTAATATAAACTGTACATATTGATTATCTAGCTTTGTGTTGAAATTTAAGAAATTCGTGTTGCTTTTGAGCGAATGATTTAAATTCAAGCAAATGCAAGTGAATATGAGTGTGATTTTGGAAAGGGACTGAATAATTTTTTGTCCACCTTTGCTGTGAAATTAGGGGCAGCTTCTTGAGCATTTTTAGTAGATTATTGCTTGGACTGCGGACATTGTATGAAATCGAGTTGGATTTGAAGAGATTGTAATTATTATTCTAATTATTATCATTCTTTTGTATTGATATTTAAAATTTTTAAGAATGTATCTCTTTGATTTTTGTAATCTCAAAAATGTCTCTGATCTTTGGATCTTGTATTTGTATGTCTCAGTAGCATCAAGGAGAAACAGCGAGGAACTTATTTTGGAAGGCCGAGTGACTGTTAATGGTTCTGTTTGCAATACTCCTCAGGTCAGCTGGTTCTTTCACGTCTCTTATGATTTCAAATTCTTGCTTTAGCTAATGGAATTTCTTTATGTTACTATATTGTCATTTGTCTGAATGATGAGCAGACTCGAGTTGACCCTGCGAAGGATGTTATTTATGTCAATGGCAATCGGCTTCCCAAGAGACTGCCCCCAAAGGTTTATCTAGCGCTCAACAAGCCAAAGGGGTTTGTTTCTGTCACTTATCCATTTTTGCTACTTTTGTTCTTTTGATCTACTTGGTTTTGATGCTTGGACTGTTTTGTTTTTATTTTATTCCTCCGGATATTAATGTAATTTTGTTTTCACAGGTATATTTGCTCAGTTGGGGATAAAAAATCTGTGATGTCTTTATTCGACGATTATTTAAAGATCTGGGTATGTGAAGCTTGAACTTATGCATACTTTTTTCTTGATCATTTTTTCATGTGAATTTATTACTTATTGCACTAGGAGAGAGAAAAGGACTGTGAGGATCTAATGGTTTGTGAAAGCTAGGATGGAAGTCCTGTCTTGATAGTGGCTTAATTCAATGATAGTTAACTTAAGGGAACACATGGGTGCTATTTTAGTTATTTTCCTCAGCAATCAAGGACCTCTTCCTTTTCTTTGAAGAGAGAAAGTGGCGGCTAGATTCGGAGTTGCTTTCCAGACCAGAAATGATTTGAAAAAGCTTTTGGGTAGAACTCAGTATTCAAGTGAGTCCTAGGGTCTTAGTTTTTTGGCATGTATTTTGTATTTCTTTTCTTGTATCTTGTTTCATCAGGGAGATACCTTATCCTCTTTCTTTGTAATTGATTTATTTAATCATTGAAGTTTTTCTTATTAAAAAAAAAAAAGGGAGATCTAGGGTTTTTTTTTTTTTTTGGGCGGGTGGGGGGGTTGGTTGCGGACTTGGAAGGTTTCTGTTTATATATGAGATGATGCTTTTGTTGAATGTAAGAGTATACATTACTGATAGTTTGCGTTTGTGTTTGCATTTTCAGGATAAAAGAAATTTAGGGCAATCCAAACCGAGATTATTTACCGTTGGTCGGCTTGATGTTGCCACAACTGGGTTGATTATAGTGACCAATGACGGTAAGCGCAGCAACCATCATGTGTTTTAGTATACATATTTGAATTATTATGTATGCATCTAGCTTATTCCCAATGTGATACCATCTCAGGAGATTTTGCTCAAAAACTTTCACATCCTTCATCCAACTTGTCAAAAGAGTAAGGGCTTCTGTAATTCACTTTTTTTTTTTTTAACTGCAGAAAAATCTTGTTTAATGGTTTAAGGTCCAAGCCTTTTATGTCAAACCATGTGAATGAATACTTGTTATACATCTATATTTTTTTTTTTTCTAAACAAAATTTCTGAAGTTGCTGTTTGAGAGTTTATTGGTTATTGGTTTTTCATGTGGAAGTGCTACATGTAAATATTCACATCAGAAGGTTATATGAAGCTGCTAATCATGTTACGCATTTCAATGCTGATGTCATTTTTATTACTTCATCTTCTACTTCAATTCAATGTATCTGCCTCTTTTGTAATTGTAGATACATTGCAACTATAGAGGGAACAGTTAGCAAGAAGCACTTGCTAGTGATCAGTGAGGGAACATTCATCGACGGCGTCCATTGTGTACCAGATTCAGTGGAGTTACTCCCAAATCAGCCAGAAATGCCTAGACCCCGTTTACGTGTTGTGGTATGACATTTATAGTTTTGTAAAACAATTGTGATAACTGTATTCTCATCTACACACACACACACACACACACACAAAAGAGTCCTTTTTTTTTCTTTTTTCTTTTGAGCTCTTATCGTCAATAACTTACTAACCTACAGTGCTGGATCTGTGGAAAATTTATGGGAATTCTATTTATTTCGTAGGTTTGGAATGTGGTATTAAATACTAGTTTTAAACTATTTGATCAGAGCTTAGGTGAAATCCCTCCAAAATGGTACAATAGGGAAACTTAGGCCTCGTTCATTTCACCGATTCGAGTTTTCAGTTTTAAGTTTCTACAGTAAAAAGCTCTAAAAAAATGTTACATCTAACTTTTTTTGCTACAGTGAAAAGCTCTCAGAAAATGTCACATCTCAACTCGAATTGAAAACTCAAATCCGCGAAGTGAACGAGGTCTTAATTGTTAATCCGCTAAGATTTTTCGTCTAGTTAAGAGAATGCATATATTGAATAGAGAACAAGAATCTGCAAGTTGGTAAAGTCCTTTGTATTAACTCCAAGAATGTCCATCTCTAATCGGATTTGAGGTTTTATGGGTTTGAGATAGCTATTTTCTGGGTATTGACAGGTTTATGCTCCTAGAACACACCCAAAAGAAGAAATGAAAAAAAAATTAAAAAAAAAACAAAACTAAAAACAAAAGAGAAGTCTTAAGTTGAGGCATGCAATATACAATGTGTCAATGCTATGTTTTAAGGTTCATTTACGTGCTTTATTCTTACAGGTCCATGATGGGAGGAAGCATGAAGTGCGAGAACTAATGAAAAATGCTGGACTTGAGGTTAGTTTTGACCATGTATTCAGAAAAATTCTTCATTTTAAAATTTTTTGGTTGAACCAACCGTACAAGGTGGGAAAACTATTAGAAGAATGAAAAACTATAAATGGTCGGCCAAAGTTTATACAAAGTCTGTGACATAGCGGTCCTGAAAAATTTCTGCTAACTAATTCAGCAGAAAAGAAAAGAAAATATGTTAACACAGGGCAAATAACATTGATGTAGGAGCCCCCCCTTTTTTGTGAAGGGCTACTAGGGTTTTATCACAGCATAATTGCTATGGATGTCTAATCATCCTTTTGTCTTCTCTCTTTTTCTTTTTCTTTTTTTTAGTCTTTTGTTTTTTTTGTTTTTTTTTTTTTTTGGTGAAGGGCCATTAGAAGTTGAAAACTTTGTTATTTCGAGTTTGAGCATTATTGACATGATATGTTGGAGTTATTATTTGGAAAATGATTGTTCCTCTATCACTATTTCAATTATGCTTATGTTACTTCTTATGTTTCAACTTAATCCAGATTCATTCATTAAAGCGTGTACGAATTGGTGGCTATCGACTTCCATCAGATCTTGGGTGAGTTACTTTGAGAACACCTATTATCATATCAAGAGTGCCTTTTGTTTCTAATATTGTTTCCTCAGAAATGTTTACATTCATTTTAGTAATATCTCGAATGGTAATCATGTGAATTTATGAACCACGATTGTTGGTTTTGTAATCCTACGCACACAATGTGCCACTTTTAAAAAAATGTATTTACAATGATTGGATTTTAGAGTGTGCTTTTTGTTTCTTATTGTAACGTACTGAATATCATTTAGAGCCCGTTTGGTTCATGCATTTAAACTAGTGATTCTTGATTTTGGTATTTGAAATTCAATTTTTTTGTGAGAGAAAAACACTGTAGCAGAATCAAAATCATGAGTTTAAACGCATGAAACAAACAAGCCTTTAGTGCTGGTGTAGTTCGTTTAAGGAGTTTGCAAATGCAATCCTCATACCATTCCATGATTTAGTGCTAGTCTAATTATTTGTTAATTCAGGCTCGGGAAGCACGTCGAGCTAAAACAAGGTGATCTGTCGGCTCTCGGTTGGAAGAGTTAGGGCAAGTCACTGCTTAACTGCTGTTCAGCATCCTCAATCTTTCCAGTAGTCACTTCAGACGTCAAGGTGTCAAAGTCCATTGGCCGATTCGCCGATGCCTTGTGGGTTAGAATTGCTGATTTAGATCTCATACCTCATTCATAGCACAATGATTGGATTTTTGGTGTGGATTTATCGTCTAGTCTATAATGAACGCAAGGTTATACTACAGCTACTGACAGAATAAGAGATTTGTCCATTTCTGGTGCAGAGTTTGATGTAAAACCTGCCATGTGAAAATTACTTGGTTGTAGGGTCAATCATATCTCAGCTCTATTCGGATGTTGCTAAAGATTGACAATAACTTCTGACCAAAATGGGCTCTAGCTGAAAGTTCATTTGTCATCTGCTAGAGATCAGAAGTCGTAAAGTTCTTACTCTGAAATGCGGAGTCAAAATAGAATCATTTTCATACCGAAGGATTTATGTTTGGTGTTTTTAATCTTATTCTGCCAAGGATTCAGCTTGTGCTTTATTTGCATAAAGCTGTGGCCTTATAAATGTGGGGTGAAGCTCTTTTTTTTATTTCTTTTATTAATTTTTTTTATTTCTTTGGCTGCTAGTAAGGTAAGGCCCATTTCCATGTGCATTGAGAACCGAAAGCCAATTATTGAAAAATTAGCCATCGTGATTTTCTGCTTTATTAGTCCCATTGTCCTTTCTGTCTTAGACATAGAAAGAAGTTGGTTTGAACCGGACCACATTCGAAAATTGAGAGTAATCATGGAGAAAACCATATGCAAAGTTAGATCATCATTCCTTTTTTTTTTTTTTCCTGAACACCTAAAATTACATGTTTGTTTCATAAGTTTAAATAAAAAATTAAATTAAATTTTTAATGGGAGAAAATAACGTAGCAAAAAGATTTGAATTATGATTCTATCACTTTTTCTATTTTTGTTTTTAAATACTGAATGTTTCCAAAAGTTGCATTTTAGGACCAAAATAATGAAAATAGTTTCTATTAAAAAATGACATGATAATCTGATCAAAATTGGTTTTACCAAACGTACGTTGTTGCTGAAAATCTCTTGTAATAACACCAATACCAAACCGTTCCCAAATCAGTTAGAGCAGCTAAAGCTAAGAATTGAGATTGACGTAAAATATCAACAGCAGCATGTCTCTTTTCCCTGTACTTGAAGAAATTTCTTCTCTTTTTACCCCTTTTTTCATAGGGAAGAAGAAATTGAAATAAATTAATTAGCTTGTTATTTAATAAAATTTTCAGAATTTTCATAAATCTCATTTAGGGAAATAAAAACCAGAGAGAAGTTCCGACCACTATAACACATTAACACAAATTTCCTAAACCTTGGAATAGAATACTCCAAAGGTAGGATTTATGACTCATTCAATTCGTTGATTTAAGTTTTTAATTTGAATTAAGATGTGACTTTATGTGAGAGTTTTTAACTGTAACAGAAAAAGTTAAAAGTAACTTTTATGAGAGCTTTTAACTGTAATAAAAATAGAATTAAAAATTTAAATCGGTAAAATAAACGAGACTTTAGTATTATTATGCAAAAACTTGTTCAAATAACTACATGCATGCACTTATGCTATTCCCTAAAAAAAATGTCGGTATTTGAACAATTCTGATAGGGACATAAAGCATAAGAAATACAAGAGAAACGAATAAACTTCAAATCAAATGATACTTTCCAAAAGGATAAAATAAAGGACTTAATCAAGGGATTTATATAGACTTTGGTTGTGATTAGTAATTTGTAATCCAATGATAATTTTGGTTTTGTTGGTTATGTTTGACCCATGTACCGAATGGCAAAGACCAGCTTGCATTGCCGGCCAAATAATAAATACAACGAAACAACACCAACAAACAATTCAAATAACTGTCACTCTGACATCCTCCAACTCATTTCCCTTCACTATCACAATCATCAATTTAGCTTTTTTCAATTGGATTGGTCTAACATTAATTTCAATTGTCATCTTCTTCCTCTTCCTTTTTTTTCTTCTTTTTCTTTAAATTTGAAGCTCTAGACAATTAAATTTAAATTTTTTTTGTTTGTTTCGTGAATTCAAATCATAATTTAATTACAGTTTTTTCTCTCATAAAAATTTAAATTTAATATTTTTTAAAAAAAATGGCATAGTCAGATAAAAATTTGATAGCCTAAAATAATGTCCTATTCACAGAGTTTTAGATCGGTTCAAAATAATATTCAACAGTGCACCCTATTTTTCCTACCTATGTAACCTATCAAAGAATTATATATATATATATATATATTTTCCGAGGAAAAGAAATGAGCTACGAATAAATGGTCAAGCACCGCAGTATAATATATATATATATATATACATATATATTTGAAAGAAATGAAATTAAAAAAAGTGGTTTAAAAGTTATTATTGGTTTTTTTTTGTGTTTTTTTTTAAATAACGGTATTTTCTCTTTTTTAGAAATACGGTGTATTTTTTTATTTAGAATATTGATGTTCTTTATTTATCATCTATTAAATTTAATCAAAAGTCAAATAAAATTGAATAAATAATATAGATCCGACAGTTAATAAATAAATAATACCGGTGTAAAAAATAAAAAGAAAATTAGAGAAATTTTTTTTTATATAAAAAAAAAAGGAAAGTTAGTGGTTTAAAGGTTCGGTAGGTCGCATCTAGCTCTAAGAGGTCAAACATTTGTGTAAATGCCTTTTGATAAGTGAAAATGGGACGGCAAACCTTTTGTTGTCCTAACCATTAACATATTGAAAACGACAGACAAATGATATGCACAAGCATCCACACATAAAAAGAAAATGTCTATTAAATAGAAAAAATATATATGAGTTCTACCTCTCCGAGGGTTTTTTTTTTTTTTTATTGAAATGGGAGGGTTAATTTTCAGAAATATATATATATATTCTTTTCTCGTTCATTAATGACTTGCATAACAGGAATTTGGCTTTTGCAATTTTGATTAAGACATGATTCAATCTTAGGTCATCTCTTTTTGCAGTGTTCAAATGATAGTCTAGATATTTAGATAATATCTTTTTGGTCGGATACGTGTGGGGGAGGGAAGGTTACACTGCATATGGTTTGTCCAAAGATAGCAACCTGATAAAGCATAGACATGCTAGATTTTTTTTTTTTTTTTTTTTTGGTGGCATATTGATATATTCAGTAACAATATTATTGCATGCTTCTCGGAAATGAACCCCAAATAATGTTTTTTTTTTCCCTTCCCTTTTTTTCTTTTTAAGCTATAAAGTGGGCATGTGCTTTATTAAGATACAATTACGTCTAACATGGTCTTGAACAATATTATCTCATGATTGCAGGCATAAATAAGTGATAAAATCCACACCCGACTCACCTGAGGTACAAGTTTAAATCCTCCATTTTCATATTTTCTTCTTTAAAATTGAGATGTTCAAATGTTTGGTGTGTACCGAGATCTTCAAAACCTTGTAAGAGCAATACCAATACATTTATACACATTATTTTTTGTTGTTGCATGCTTAATGTAGCAATATATTCACATATCTTGTGCAACATTAAATTCACACATCTTAATATAGGTTTAGACTTTCAGATTACGAACGAAAAATAAATAGGTGAGTTTTAAATTGAGCATCACTAACGGAAAAAAGGGACAATGCATGTGCATTGTCTAATAACACAATAATTTTATTTCTTAGTTCTTTCACCGGAATTTTCTCCAGTATTTTCTCTTTTTTTTAAATATTAGTGTTTTTTACTTTTTAATATTTTTTATTTTTTAACAATTAAATTTATATTAAAATTTATTTATTTTATATATTTTTTTAATTTAATGTAATTTTAATTAAATTTAACAAAACAAGAACATTTTAATATTTTAAGTTTCTGGCAAAAGCATCATAGAAAACTCTTGGGACCCGCACCCATGAAATTCATTTTAGTTGCCAAAGGGCTTAATAAATACTTTTGTTTTGTACTTTCACCCGTCAATCACTTTCGCAACCAAATGTTAGGCACCCAAGAAAAGGCAACATTTATGGTAGGGCAAGCCTTTTTGCCCCCTACCGGTAGGGTAAGTAAAATGTGGGTTGACTACTCTTTACATTGGCTATCCCTGCGGTTCAACAAAGAAAAACGTGGACCTTATCGCATCCGAACTAAAGGCTTGTTCATTATATTTTTTAAGTTAAGGTGATTTGTGTTTATATTTTAATTTAAATTACGGTATATTTAAGTATAATTTGAGTTATAATTTTAATTTGAGTTTGTGTTTAGATGTGTACATTTTGAATTATAATTTGAATTAAAAATTTATTTGAGTTTGTGTTTGAATGAGTCAAAACTTAAATTTGTATTTAAATAGTATTTTAATAAAAACTCAATGGTTATGGAAAATTTTAATAAGGTATATGGATGAGGTTTTATTCGTCTCTTCGTTGTAAACGTATAGAAAAAAATCATCTCAATCGGAATTAAAACGAAAAAGTTATGGCGTTTTTAAGAATAGAAAAAATATTATTCATTAACTTGAGTTTGAGTTTAAAAACTTAAGTTGAAAGAGGAATTTGAACTCAGATTTTAGCCATAAACTTAAGTTAAAACTCAAATTTTACAAAAGAACATGAACTTGAATAAAGTTGGGGTTGTTCTTTTACGACGAAACTCAGAAAAAATTTGAACTCGAGTTACAACGGGGTTGTTCTTTTGCATTTTTGAGTTAGGCATTCTTGAGTGAAGATCTTGAGTGATAACTTAATTTGAAGTTGTAACTTGAGTTTGTGTTTGGTTGTGTACATTTGAGTTATGGTTTGAGATAAGAATCTTTTTGAGTTTGTATTTGAGTGAGTCAAAACTTGAATTTGTATTTAGATAGTATTTTAATAAAAACTCAATGGTGATGAAAAATTTTAATAGGGTATATGAGTGGGGTTTTATTCGTCTTTTCGTTGTCAACACATAGAAAAAAATCATCTCAATTAGGATTAAAACGAAAAAGTTATAACATTTTTAAGAATAAAAAAAATACTGTTCATTAATTTGAGTTCGAGTTTCTGAACTTTAGTTGAAGGAGAAACTTGAACTCAAGTTTTAGTCCCAAACTCGAGTTCAAACTCGAGTTCAAACTTAAAAGAACATGAACTTGAATAAAGTTGTAACTCGAGTTGCATTTTTTGAGTTTTTGAGGGGTTGTTCTTTTACATTTTTGAGTTAGAGTGACTTGAGTGATGATCTTGAGTTATAACTTAAATTGAAGTTGTAACTTGAGTTTGTATTTAGATGTGCACATTTGAGTTATGATTTGAATTGAAAATCTTTTTGAGTTTATGTTTGAGTGAGTCAAAACTTAAATTTGTATTTAGATGGTATTTTAATAAAACTTAATGGTGATAAAATTTTTTTTAGGGTATATGGGTGGGGTTTTATTCATCTTTTCGTTGTGAATGTATAGAAAAAAAAATGATCTCAATCAGAATTAAAACGAAAAATTTATGACATTTTTAAAAATAAAAAAAACATTGTTCATTAACTTGAGTTCGAGTTTATGAACTCGAGTTGAAGGGAAAACTTGAACTCGAGTTTAGTCCCAAACTCGAGTTCAAACTCGAGTTCAAACTCAAATTTTACAAAAGAACATGAACTTGAATAAAGTTGTTACTCGAGTTCAATTTTTTTTGAGTTTTGTTGTAAAAGAACAACCATAACTTTATTCAAGTTCATGTTTATTTGTAAAATTTGAGTTTGAACTCGAGTTTGGGGCTAAATTCGAGTTCAAATTTCCTCTTTAACTCGAGTTCATAACTCGAACTCAAGTTAATGAACAATATTTTTTCTATTCTTAAAAATGCTATAACTTTTTCGTTTTAATTATGATTGAGATGATTTTTTTCTATGCATTCACAACGAAAAAATGAATAAAACCCCACCCTATACCCTATTAAAATTTTTCATCACCATTGAGTTTTTATTAAAATACTATCTAAACACAAATTTAAGTTTTGACCCACCCAAACACAAACTCAAAAAGATTCTCAATTCAAATCATAACTCAAATGTTCACATCTAAACACAAACTTAAGTTACAACTTCAACTTAAGTTATAATTCATACTTAACTCAAGATCATCACTCAAGTCACTCTAACTTAAAAATATAAAAGAACAACCCCGTTGTAACTTGAGTTCAAACTTTTTTTGAGTTGGGGTACAACCTTCACTTCCTACTTAAATTCAATACTGTAGATTTTCAACCCATTCATTCTTTCCTCCGCACCATTTGTGTAGGGCTGGCGATCCGGGTAGTGACACGACAACACGACTTGAAACCCGCATGAAGTTAGCGAGTTTAAATTTACTATAAATGAGTTTGAGTCATAATCTGGTTGACATGATTAATAAATGAGTTGAGTTATGATTGACCTCCTAACACGAATTGACACGATTAACTATATATGTCATCTACAATATAATGATATGTAATATAACATGAAAGTTTATATGACATATTAAATATAAATAATGTAAATTTTAATATTTGTAAGTAAAGTTCATTTATTTTTTAACGTAAAAGATAAATTGATCAATAAACATGTTAAATCTATCATGATCGTGTTAAATAAATAATTATTATATTAATTATTTATTTAATATAGTAATTTAAACGAGTTATATTGGTTGACATGATTAATACGATTAATAAATTAGTCATGTTTGAGTTGACATTTTAACATATTTAATAAACATATCGTATTTGAATTGATATTTTTTAACACGATTAATAAATATATTGACATGAATACAATCCGTTAATACGAATTGCCACCCTTACTTTCAAGAGCTAGTCTGAATTATTATTATTATATTTTTATAAACTTATGAAGAATTTCATCGGGTAATATGAACATGTCTTCATATTATCGCAAGAAAAAAAAAAAAAGTTCTCACACCTGCACGAAATACCTCACACCTAGGTTCGTATACGTATCCGATTAGTCTTCCACAGCCGGGAGGTGAATTTAGACGAACGAAGTGAGCATCTGACAGTGAAGGATGAAATTTCCATACCCAAACCTATATAAGTTCCATTATCTCCAATTACTTAATGTTTAGTTGCTTGTGATGGTTTCGATCTCATGGTTACCAGTAGGCACAGAACGGTGTGTCCCTTCGTTTTCTGTTTGATTTGTCTCTAAGTTTTTTTTAATGGATTTGTGTGAAGTATTTTCACAAAAATAATTTAATCTAATTGCAAATCCTTATGAGAACAATAATCCCCACCGGAACCACCTCTTTCTCGACCCCTCGCCTCCGTCGCCTGCCCCTCCACTGACGTCGGCTTGGGCATAGCCATCGTCCCCTGCCTCTTAATGATGCTGCCAAATCCTTATGGGTATGAAGTTGGCATTTGCGAATGGAGCTAAGGAGGGGGGGGGAGAGGGGGGTTTTTTTTTTTTTTTTTTTTTTTTTTTTTTTTTTTTTTTTTTTTTTCTAAATGTGAAATTCATTTCGACACAAACAAAGGCAGAAAGCAGATCAACGGCCACAGAAACAGAAGAAGAAAAGTAAGGAAGCTACAAACTAAGAAACCACAGACCCAGAGAGGTAACCAACGAAAGAACAGAGATAACAACCCAGGACTTTTGATGTAAATAAATGAAGGTTCGATTTGAGTTTTTAATTTAAATTAAAATATGATATTTTTAAAATTTTTTTAATTATAATAAAAAAATTAAATGTGATATTTTTTTTAAATTTTAAATTATAAAAATTTAAATCTATAAAATAAAAAAAAAAAATTTTTATGACGTGAGACTCACGCAGCATACAACTAAGCATATCTATTTTTCTTTTTTAAATTTTTAGTGGGCCCCACCGTAATTATTAAACTCAAAACGCTCTCAATCTCAAGCCAAAAGTGAGAAATCAATATTGAAACAACGGAGTAATTTTAACCGTTTGATTTTCAATGGAATACTTTTAAGTCTTGTTTAACAATTTGAGTTCTTAATTTTAAAATTTTACGGTTAAATTTTTAAAAAAAATATTAATTTAAATTAAAAATTTAAATATGTAAAACGTATTAAGTCTTAATAACGTGCTCTACCGCTAGTTAAAAAAAGGCTGCTCTACCATAAAGGCTTGCAAAAGGGCAAGAAAAGTAGGAAAACAGCTTTTTTTTTTTTTTTTCTGCTTGATGGAAAGAAAAGAATTTGTGTTAATGTAAACACGTACTAAAACACAAGAGTCAAGGCAGGAGAGAGAGAGAGAGAGAGAGAGAGAGAGAGAGAGAGAGAGAGAGAGAGAGAGAGAGAGAGAGAGGCATGGTCCATAAATACAATTACGAGTGAAAAAGCGCCTTTAATGAATTCAAACAAATCCTAAAGGGCACAAAAAAGAAAAAAAGAACAAGAGGGAGAAAAGAAGTAAAAATCCACAAATCCAAAAGCTAGTGACTTTTTATAAGTGAAAAAGGAAGTAATAATTGCCGCAGACAAACCTTAAAAAACACTAAACTTTTACATAGCTTCACGTTCATCACAGTTGAATGAATGAACCAAAACCCAAAAATAATAGAGAGAAAAAAAATTAAAAAACAAAGAAAGAAAAAAAAAAGAGAATGTTTCAAAGACAAAATTGTACATGATAATGCGAACGCGGGAACCATTTTCCCATTAAACGAATAAAATAATTGCTCTCTCTTTCTGAGTCGTGCCGGCCTCAAACCATTTTTCTCTTTTTCTCTCTCTACAATAAAATGATAGAGAGAGAGAGAGCTTTAATTGTTCTTCTCTTTCTCTCTGACTCTGTGAAGCTCGCGAAGCGAATTTAATGGCTTCGGCTTTAAGGTCTTCAATGGCGACGACAGGACATCATAGTAATAGTAGTGGCAGATTTGAGAAGCAACAAGCTTCCTCTTTTACTTCGTCGTCTTCTTCTTCTTCTTCGGTGTCTGGAGTTTCTAGCAGAGGAAACGGCGTTGCCAATCGTACTAAAGCTCCTTCTCCTTCTTCGAGACGCTCTGTCACTCCCAATTCCAGAACTCGCTCTTCTTCCGAATGTGCACTAGGTGAAAAAAAGTCCCAACTTCTCTCTCTCTCTCTCTCTATATATATATATATACACACATGTATGACTCTATGTACATTATGAAGTGCGACATTGTAAATAAGTGTACTTGTAGCTGTGTTGTTGTGCCTGGTTCTTGTTATGTTTTTCTTTTCTGGATTATTGATACTTTAACCTTACGAGTTACAACCTTCAAATGAGTATCTTTTACTTTTGTTCTTTTTTTTTTATTTGTTTTTGTTTTTTGTTTTGTTTTGTTTTTTTGTTTTTTTGTTTTTGTTTTTTTCTGGTGAGTGAACTGGCTGCTAATTGTTCGAACAAATATTTTGTATATGTTCATACTCTTTAGTTTGTGAGTTTCTTATGGTTTTCTTATGCGTAATTATTTCTGATGATGCACGATCGAACTTCACTTCTCTTTCTTTCGTTTGAAAGTTTTTTATTTTTTTATTTTTATTATTTTTTTTAACATTGATTAATGTGTTGTTCTAGAAAACTAACTCATGGACTTTTTCCCCCCCTCGAAACTTCTATATTTGTGGCAGATTCTGAAAGGGTGAGAGTTGCAGTCAGAGTCCGACCAAGAAATGCTGAGGAACTACTCCCAGAATCTGATTTTGTCGAATGTGTTGAGTTGCAGCCAGAGGTGAATAAATTTGCCACCAAGAGGAAATTAAAGGAAAAAGAAAAGAAGGAGCATTCTCATAGTTGACCAGTTAAATCATGTTTGGTTCCAATTATTGACTTGCATAGTTGTTGTTATCTCAATAAATAACACTATAAGTTTCCTCTGCAATAGTTTTTGTCTCTCTCAAAATCAAATAAGCATGCTTATTTTCTTGTGCAGCGACAAGAATGTTTAGGCTAAAATACTTATTTCTCTTTTGCAGCTAAAGCGACTGAAGTTGAGAAAAAACAATTGGACTTCCGAATCCTACAGATTCGACGAGGTTTTTACTGACACCGCCTCTCAAAGGCGTATTTATGAAGCTGTGGCAAAACCTGTAGTTGAGGTAAGTTAACTTCCAAGTTCCACCACGATACAGTATTCATGAAATGTGAGTGAACAGACAATTTGATCAAATTAGAATAACAAACAAGATACAATAGTTGCTTGTTTGGGGTTCACAAATATAGTTTTTAAAATGCTTAATGTGTGTTTGTTCACGTAGTAATTTTGTGTTTGGTTAGTGTAGCGGAAATCTTCCCTTTTGTGGTTGTCTTTTAAAAAAGTAGTCTTTATGGTAACTTTGTAAATGAAATTTTTGATAAACTTTGTGCAGAGTGTATTGAATGGATATAACGGAACAGTTATGGCTTATGGTCAAACGGGTACCGGAAAAACTTACACTCTTGGAAAATTAGGTAAAGATGACACGTCTGAGCGTGGTATAATGGTCAGAGCTTTGGAGGATATACTTTCTAGTATATCTCCTGCTTTTGATAGTGTGGAAATTTCCTATTTGCAGGTAATATTCTCTATGTTACAGTAAGACTTGCTTCTAATGCCTAATTTTAAAATCATCATAGACATGGTTTTCCTTAATGTTCTGAGCAATTTTCTTTGCCAAACTCTACTATTCATCGACTTGAAATTGTTGACCTGAAAACGGAACAACTCTACCTTCAATAGGAACACTGTAAACATTGTTGACCTGAAAATCGAACAATTCTAGCTTCGATGGGAACACTGTATATTTAAAATTAGTGTGGACAAATATGAGATAAACATGTAACATAAAGCAAAATTTAGGTTTGTACATGACTAATGGACAGCAGAAAATGAAATTCGATGGGAGTGATTCATCCACGTGTTCTATAAGGACATAATGATGACAACAAGCAGATGTTAATGTAGGCCATAACCTGGAATTTATGTTTTCCCTTATTCAATGAAAGAAAGATGCAACAAGTACACACACACAAGCACATGAAATCTCTATTAGCATTTTACTTATGTACAATCACAGTGAATGAACCTTCTTAATATGTACATAACAAACCTCAAGAACTTACTGTTTCTCAGACTAATTGTGTAGAAGATGAGACTTATTTTTGCTTATGATGGTAACTTGTACCAGTTGTATATGGAATCTATCCAAGATCTACTTGCACCGGAGAAGATTAATATCCCCATTAATGATGATCCCAAGACTGGGGAGGTGTCACTGCCTGGTGCTTCAGTGGTCAAAATTCAAGACCTTGATCACTTTTTACAGCTGTTACAAATAGGTGAGACAAATCGCCATGCAGCTAATACTAAGCTGAACACGGAGTCGTCACGCAGTCATGCAATTCTTATGGTGAGTATATTAAGTGACTGGATTTTGCTATTTAGATCCCTTACCTTCAAGTTTGTAGGTGATACTTTCTTTGTTTTTTATTTATTTATAATAGTTCAGATCTGAGCTCATTCATTGTTCACGACTTACATGTTCTACAGGTTTATGTTCGAAGACCTGTCCATGAAAATGCAAAAGATGGACCCACTTCACAGGAGAAGGTCTCTAGTTCTGGTAGCAATGGCATACCTGTGGTTCGAAAAAGCAAGTTGCTGATTGTTGATCTTGCAGGGTCCGAGAGATTAGATAAATCTGGTATGATGTTGATGCTATAACTATAAAGCTAGACTTCAGACCTGCATATCCAGTACCTCTAATTTTTTTTAAACCTTATTTTTGTATTTTGATTTTCCTTTCAACCTCATATGAACTAAATCACTCAAACATTTTCTTCACTATACTTATTCTCGATTTCTTTTCGAAAGTTTGCTATTGTGGATGCTATATTATTACACTGGATAGTATTATTTGTATAGGAAAGTAATTCATCTTACTGGCTTTTGCTCTTGCTATGGTAAATTTCTAAATTGGCGGGCTTTCAGGTTAGTCCATGATACTATTGTTTATAGCATGCACATTTCTTATTTGGCAGGGAGTGAAGGCCACATGCTTGAAGAGACGAAGTTCATAAATCTCTCTCTTACTTCTCTTGGGAAATGTATAAATGCGTTAGCTGAAAACAGTCCACATATACCTTTCAGAGAGTCTAAGCTGACAAGATTGCTTCGCGATTCATTTGGAGGTCATTCCAAACATTCTTTTATTTTTTTTCCTCCATTCTTTATTATTTTGACTTCTCCACTGAATATAACACCGAAAAATTTCTTTAGTAACATTAGGCACTTCAACTAGGGTTGCAATACTCACTTCAGAGTTCAGATATTAATATAGTTATATCAACAGTAAGCTTTGATGATTATTTCCTGTGGATTTATCTGGCTGTAGAATCTGCTAATGGAGCTGCAACGTTACTTTTATTATTATAGGCTCTGCAAGGACTTCACTTATAGTAACAATTGGCTCCTCAGCACGACATTATGCAGAGACTACCAGTACGATAATGTTTGGACAAAGGGTGAGCTATTTTAAAACCTCATTTTGAAATAACTAGGAGTTTCTGTTATCTACATGTATGTTATTTTGTTGCTTTAACATCTCAAGTTTTTGATTTCTTCTTAGAGATCTTAGATGGATTATTTACACCAATAATAACTCTTTCAGCAACCCAATATTAAATAAAGTTTTAATTTCTTGTTTTCTTGCTTGTAGAATTAAATTTTGTCTTATTACATCTTGCACTTGTTGGTTTCTTTGTGATAATTCTCAAGTGTGGTTGATTGACATCGACATGTGATTTCCAGTGTCATTTCTGGTTTCTATTTTTAAGGCCATCAGTGTTACAAGCAGAAAGCTAACTTTAAGTTAATTTAGCTTAACCGTAAGATTCAAACCTCTTGATACCAAATTTTGTGTTGACTTGTTTTCACAGGCTATTAAAATAGTAAACACAGTAAAACTTAAGGAAGACTTTGATTACGAAAGCTTATGTCGGAAGCTCGAAAACCAAGTAGACCATCTCACAGCAGAAGTTGAAAGACAGCAGAAGTTGGGGGATGATGATAGAAATTTGTTGGAAAAACAGCTGAGAGAGTGCCAAGAGTCTTTTGCTGAAGCCAAAAAGAACCTAATTACAAGGTCCGAGGTACTTATCTTTTCCTTGTAATAATTTCTGATCTCATTAGACTACTTGTCCATCTTCACATTTGTGTGTCTTACTTTCTAGTAATTGACTGAGCTGGTATCAACTAGTTCTCACTTCCAAAATCTTCCCTATGCTTGCAGTTTCTAGAGAAGGAAAATACTCGTCTAGAGCTGGAAGTGAAAGATATTTTAAATGAATTGAAACAACAACAAGATCAGAACGATTTAATGCATGATAAGATTGTACAGCTAGAATTGAATTTAAAAGAAAGAAAGGTATTTCCCTTTCTTTGAGATGGAGATAGTACTTTGGCCTCATTCAATTACCCCATGGTTATTCTTCTTCTTCTTCTTCTTTGTTTTTTGTTTGTTTGTTTGTTTGTTTGTTTGTTTTTTTTTTTTAAATAACCTGTGTTAGTAGTCTTTTGATATATCTTCATAGTTGATGTATGAAAACTACAACCTCAAATATCTCCACGTGTTTGTATTATTGTATTAAGTTCTTCTTTTTCTTTGTCAAATATATTTTTCTATATCAGCACAAGTATTTATGTTGCTTTACTTGTTAGTAGCAAAACCAGCTTGAGAGTTCTACGTATCAGAAAGTACTGGCTGACACCACTCAGATGTATGAGAAAAAAATGGCAGAGTTGGTTAAACAGCTAAAAGATGAGCAGACTCGTGCTGAAATTGTAGACGAAGGATTAGATGCACTCAAGAAGCTCCTCAATGATAGTCAAAGGACTATTAAGGTAACTTATTTATGTTTTCGTTGTTAGCAATGAGGGTTTAAAGGTTTCTGTTTGCAATTTATCAAGTTCAAATAAGATTTCATGTTCAAGGAATCACATGTTACTTGTTCAATCAAAGGAATCACATGTTACTTGTTCAATCAAAGCTTGCAAATGCTATTTATTTTATCTTCTATTTGATTATTTTCTTTCCATTTCAACTGTTTAATCCTCAGCATAACATTTTGCAACATAAGCACTGACCACAAAGCTGTCCTTTTTTACTCTTAGCAACATGAGATGGAAAATTCAAGATACCAGAAAGCACTATTAGATACTACTCAGATGTATGAGAATAAAATAGCAGAGCTGAGCAAGCAATTAAAAGATGAGCAGAGCCATTCTGAAATGCTAAAGGAACAATTGGATTCCGTTAAGAAGCTGCTTAGTGAAAATCAAGTTTCCATGCAGGTAAACTTTAACCCTGTTGTAGATATATGGAAGATTTCATGTTGACTTTTGTTGTTGATTTTTTTGCAGCATGTTTTATGCTCGTTTATAATTATAAATATTAATTAATTGTAAATAATAATAATAATATACTTTTTTCCGCTAGTGTAGACCTTAAAGTAAAAATCAGTTAAAGAATTTGGATTGCAGGTGTTGTTGAAAAGGGTTCCAGACTATTTTATAAAATGCAAATGAATAAATAGATAAGTTATTTTCTTTGATAAACCATTTGGAAGGAGGCCTTAAATGGTATGCATCCTCTCTTTGACTTCTTACACTCCATTCTCATCCTTTTCCATTATAATAGTAGTTTAGGAGGCAAAAAGACGTATCAAGACTCGAGTAGAATCCTGAAGTGAGGGGTTTATATCTTAATGATTTGTTGAAAATATCTATTTGCATTCTGTACTCTTTTTAGTTTCATATAAAGCTATAATATTTTTGTTGTAAATCTAGGAGCAGAAAGAGATTGAGAAGCTTTGTGGGAAGTTACAAGAAACGTGTCAGTTGCATGAACAAACTCTAAATGAACTTCAATCGTTGAAATCAGAGTACAAGGATCTATTAGAAAACAAGGTACGATTGACATGGATCCTATTTGCAAGGTTGAGTTTCTTCTCTTCAAATTAGATTACTCTTCTATTAGCTCATCATGTTGTAGTCCTTATTTATGCTAAGATTAATCTTGTACCATTGACTTATTAACACTTCTTGTATGAACGAAATTATATTTCAAAAAGGTGACAATAACCGAGGAACTTCAAACCGTGAGGCAAAGATTTTTAATTGAAGAAAAGCAGAGGAAAACAGTGGAAAACGAGCTAGTCAAGCTAAAGATGGCTGTACCTGAAACGGAGAATGATTTTGAGGTAAGGTTTTCTTCTTTAGCTGAAAGATTTTGAGGCAAGTTTTATGCATTTAGGGATATATGCGTTTTGGCAGTAAAGATCTTACAATTGATACACTCAGGATAAGAAGTTGCATACGAAAGAAAGTATATGCAAAGTACCTTCTGCATTTGGGAGTCCAACAAGGTTAGAAAAGTCAATTCCCCTGAAGGACACGTTTTCTGGTCAGAGAGCTACAATTGCAAAGATATGTGAAGAAGGCAAGATATTTTTATGTCACATAAATTTAAGTAGAGTTTCAAGCAAATTATCTTTATTTGCAAATTGACTTATTGAGATATATTGATTTTAAGTTGCTTGGCTTCACAAAATTCAGTTGGCCTTCAAAAGATATTACAACTGTTGACATCCGAAGACCCAGATGTTCAAATTCATGCTGTGAAGGTGGTGGCCAATCTTGCTGCTGAAGGTGCAGCTCACTTGCCTGATATCTATATATTAGTAGATACATGTTTATCTCTTTCGCTCTCTCTCTCTCTTTCTCTCTCTCTCTCTCTCTCTCTCTCTCTTTATGGACATTCCGTCCATTTACTTGCAAGCTATACAATATGTTTGAATAAAGTAGCTAGAAAATTAAAGTAAAAGAAAAACTTGTGGTCAAAGAAAAGAAAATATTGATTTTCAGGCAGGAGATTTGTCCTTTGGAATTTGCTTCTGCTTTTGAATTGAGTCTTTATGAACCTTCCTCTGCTAATCATGAATCTTTCATTTCTTATCATGAACATTTGATTGCATATGGTATGGTATGCAACAGTCCTAAGTTCTCTCTCTTTTTTTTTTAAAACCAGATATTAACCAGGAAAGAATAGTGGAGGAAGGTGGTTTAGATGCTTTGCTTATGCTGTTACGATCATCGCAAAATGCAACTATTCTTAGAGTGACTTCTGGGGCCATTGCGAATTTGGCAATGAACGGTAATATTGTTTTCCGACTCAGTTAATTTCCCTTGTGAATATGTAATGTGGTAACCTACCTTCCTCCATTGGACATGTTTACACTGTCATTGATCTGAATGGCAGGTATTAACATACTAATCTAAGTTTATTCTTAAGACTATCCTCGTAAAAGGTGTTTGTTACATAATCTGAGTATCTAGAGTGTAAGGAGAAAAGGCCTCAGTAGTGAAAAAGAAACCAAATTAATTATGAATTGTAGAGTCGTTATTCCTTACTATCCTAGGGCACTTGTTCACTTTCTGTTAATTTCTTGTTCTTTGAATCGTCAGAGATGAGTCAAGGCCTAATCATAAGTAAAGGTGGAGCTCAACTATTATCAAAGACCGCTTCCAAGACAAATGATGTACAAACTCTTAGAATGGTTGCTGGTGCACTTGCTAATTTATGCGGAAATGGTAACCCGTGATCTGTCTTGCTGTAGTTTTTCCAATTTTTGACACTTCATTGCGTTTTCTCATCTCATAAGCATTCATTAATGTTAATAATCAATTTTTATTAAACAAATTACTATTTTTTATTAAGAGGTTTTGTTGTGGTACAGAAAATCTACACATGATACTAATTGAAGATGGAGGTGTGGAGGCACTCTTGGGAATGGTTAGATGTGGGAGCAGTGATGTGATTGCACAAATTGCTAGAGGAATTGCAAACTTTGCGAAATGTGAATCCCGCGGAGTAATCCAAGGTTAGGGGATGGAGGTTGTCCGTTTGTAATTTACCAGTCGCGAATTACATGTGACATTAAGTGCTAAAAAAATTTGCAGGTCATAGGAAAGGTCGTTCGCTTCTAATAGAAGATGGTGCCCTTACTTGGCTACTAGCCAATTCAAATACTAGCTCGGCTACAACTAGACGCCATATCGAGCTTGCTCTTTGCCATTTAGCTCAAAATGGTAACTGATCACTGGGATTGGATGCTTCAACATGGATAGTTGAAATTTTGTCATTATTTGTTAATACTTGGAATTTATGAACTCTTTTATGCCATCCTTTTTTTCCCCCTTGTGTAGGTCCTTTAACATAGTGTTCTCCTTCTTATATTGGTTTAACATGATATGATCAACTTGGATTTCTTCTGCAGAGGACAATGCTAGGGACTTCATATCCAGTGGAGGGGTGAAAGAGCTCGTACGAATATCAATGGAGTCTAGTAAAGAGGATATCCGCAATTTAGCAAAGAAGACATTGAGAATAAATTCGGCATTTCAAGCTGAGATGCAAGCGAAAAGATAGATGTATAGAGACACGACCCTTTTAAGGTTTTTTTTTTGTTTTTCGTGATGAGCTTAGTTTGTCATTTTAAATTTATTAACCGAAGCAAGCTTCTGTGTAAGGAGTGCCCTCTTGTACTGGGTGGTGCATGTAAGTAGTGAAGAAAAAAAGAGACCAAGAAAACAAGTCTAAACTCGACTTTATAAGTGAATTAATGCTATGAACTTTTATTTCATTATAGTACATGGCCATTTCAAATTTAAAAACACAAATGAAGAAGGGAAAAAAAAAAAAGTTTTGAGCTTTGGCCCACTTCTGCAACAATTATAAGGGAAAATATTGAAATCCGTGTATTATATCTGAGGTGTCAAATGGGCCGGGCCGTCCATGGACAGCCCGGCCCATCCCGTAATAGTGCATGATTCGGCACGGCCCGGTTCGTTACTGTTACGGGCCGGGCCGGCACGGCACGTGTAATGGACTAGGGCTGGGCCTCAACTTCTCAGCCCGCGGCCCAAGCACGTGGAGACCCGTGGCAAGGTCCTTATTCGGCCCGGCCCAAGCCCTGATTCGGTCCTTATTCGGCCCGGCCCAAGCCCGCGAAACGGCCCACGAAGAAGCCCATCTCATTTGGTCCAGTGGGCCCTTCGCGGGCCCAACGTTCGGCACGTGACGGGCCTCCCGTTTGGCCCGTCACGTGCCTCCCGTTTGGCACTGATGGGCCCAACGGGAGGCCCGCCACGCG